AGTTACTGAGCCGTCGAAATTTTCCTGTGCTTTTTTATATGTAATCATAACAAAACTACTTTCACAAAAAAAATTTCAATAAAAACATCGTACTTTGTTATATTGTCCATACTAGTATTATAAATGCGAATATAAGTCTGTGTGTTACATTACCACGCGTAACCCGCTGAACCGATATTGATGAATTTTGATACAGATGGGATCTAGGAGAAGGATGTAGGCTACACTTTGCACATATATAAATCTTAAGAGGATGTAATAGGGAATGAGTTTCTCTGAAGGACAAGGTACGTCGTCGTCGTCATAGCTGGAGTGACGATTTGCTAAAGGCTGCTGCCAGCAGATGGACGCACCGAGCTGAGGACCGGGCGAAATGGCGCGCATTGGGAGAGTCCAGCAGTGGACTCCGATAGGCTGGTGATGATGATGAATAGGGGATGAAAGTTTGCTTGGAGAACCAATAAAACTATGAAAATTAGTATAATACAGTAGGATACCCGAAGTTTTTTTTATGATACCAAGTGACGGGTGGAACAAGTCGTGCGCCTGTTCGAAAGCGACACGCCTGTCCATAACAGTTGCAGTGCCACTCAGAGCTTTAAATCGCAAAGATCTGAGGGGCACTCCCACTGCGCTCTTCTGTAATTTCACCAGCACCCTTACCCTTAAGTAAGGTAAGTTGGCAGTAATTTTCCGGACGAACACTTTCCCATGGAGCTCTACTGCTTCTAAGTTTCAGTTTTATTTTAAATTTTTATTGAATTGATATTCAATTATTTTTTGTGAAATTACTGTAATAGTTTGTTTAATACAAAGATCGAACACTCAGAAAAAATTCCTTCGATCCGGCCGGATTCGAGCCGACGTCTTCTGGCATACCGTTTCAGATGCTATACCAACTAAGCAGTTCAGTTTCGGTTTTATTGTTAAGCAAAATCAGCAGCAGTGGAGCACGTTGTGAAAGAGTTCGTCCAGGGAAGTACTGCCACCATACCTGTTCCTGCCAACAAAGTAGTAATGTGACCTGCGTTCCGGTTTGGAAGGGTAAGAGTGCTGGTGAAATTACACGCACTTGGGACTTGTCAGCTGGTTGGTCTTGTAAAAAGGAAACTTTGTTTGTTTTACTACTAAAAAAACCTTTAGGTGCCAATATGTCGAAAGTTACCGAAATGCAAACGCGTTAGTTATGACAAGGAGGGCAGATTTGTTAAATACCACTTGGTCACTTTAGCCTCGCTGGAGAATATACATTTCTTCTAAAAATACTACTCTTCCTAACATAAATTTTTATAAATGTACTGTGACCCTGGCTAAGAATGTTAATTTCTTTTAAATTCTCTCTCAAACTAGCGTATAACTTTTTTATAAAAAAACCGACCTCAAAACTTCGTGGAATTACATCTATTTGCCAAGTTTTATAGAAATCGGTCACCGGAAAGAGCGCGAAACTGGATTCATTCCCTAGTTTGCCACCCTTACAAGTGGAATATTTTTTTCATATAATGGGGCCAATGGAAAAATGGGTGCAATGAAGCCAAAAGGTACCCTTTTTCCAACAAAATTAAAATCATCAAAATAGTTTCACAAATACACAAAAAAATACGATCGTACTGAGAAAGTTCTCCATTTTTTGAAATTAGCTAAAAAATAACTAACACACACATCATACCATTATAATTCGCAGCAAACCATTAAATAGTAAGCATAATATAATAAATTTTCTAAGTAGATATTATTATTATACCTATAGCAATTTAATAGATAACCACATTACAACGCCCACCTCAAAGGATTGGCCACTTGCACGATAAAATATATCGTAACTTACGTCAAAAGTGTTTTATCACAAGAAAGTCATAACAATAATACAAACTACATGAAACAAGTTATGCATATGTGAAATTATCTTTAGTTATAGCAATAGAGCTTCTTGTGAAAGAGTTCGTGTAGGCAAGTACTGCCATCTTACCTATGTTTACCACTAAGCGGTAACGTGAGGTTTACTGCGTTCCTGTTTTGAAGTGCTGCCGTGCTGGTGAAATTATAGGGACATGGGACGTGTCAACTTATGTCTCAGGGTGATGGGCACAGTAGCAATGCCCCTCAGTGCCCCAAGTCCGCTAATTTTAAATCATCTCACTTGTGTGTGGATAAAGTGTCAATGGCAGGATTTTGTACTTTGGTATTCTGCTAAAAGTTAAGACCAGTGGCTTGTTAGTGGCTAACCATCGAGCTACTGTTCAACTGTCATTGCAATTTTTTTGGTATTCTGCTCTTCAATGACGAGTTGACGGCACGCCGATGGCGTAGTGTACTGATATTACATATCGACGCTTGAAAGTCAAAATTATATAAGCGACACTTTCGAGTCATATTGAGTTATTATACCGTTGGAATCAGAAACATTAGCTGATTCCAGTGGTATATATAACTTAATATGAGCAAAAGTGTTATCAGCTTATCCCATTTTGCGCTTCAAGCGTCGATATATTTTACTTAAAGACTAAATTGCGGTCTCGAATTTTCTCTCTCCGAAAGTTTAGTTCGAATTTTCATTACACCGAAAACCGAATTATAACGAAACCGTTGTTCTTTCAGGATATTTTTTCATTTACATTTTCCTCTCAAAATTACTTTCGAAGTATTAAAAATTCGAGCAATCGTTATTTCTGGAAAATGTAATTTCGAACTACTGATAGGTAACCCTATATTGCTGATTAAACGAGATAAAAAAATAAGAGATGCATGGTTTTAGTAAGACAACATCGATCGTTAGTGATTGAATGAATGAATGCCGTCAAAGCCTGTTGCCGTCAAAGTTGTTCTGCAAAACAACAAAAAAATTTTTGCAGAACAACAAATATTATCGTAATTGAAATATAATCTCAGTGGTGTCTCAGTGGAATTACAATAATCAGTGGCTTAAAACAGAATTGGGGCGCCCTGGTCTGGGGATCTAAAGTTCTAAGAGGCACTGCAGCGGCTGTAGATAGGCGTCTTGCTTACCACCAGGCGCACCGTCCCGTCACTTGGTATTGTTAAATGTTGATTACGTTAGTTATGATAAGTACGGCAGAGATCCGTCCCAAATATATCACCTATATCTATACTAAATCGCATTCGGACTTGACAGATCTATAGACAAATTCCCGGTGTGAAATAGCGCCTAACCTTGAAAAGGACACAAATTTTATTAGCTGCATTTCAGGTCACATAGTGTGATCAAGTCGCATGTGGTGGCCATATAAGAAACTCAAGCCGATTAGAAACCGGCATGGACTCCTGATTTAGCGTTATCACGTGGGCCTCGCGTAAATAAATATAAGACTCGGTCCACAAGAATTTTATTATAGAAATAAGAAAAGAGAAGTTACAGGAAGGGAAAAGAACAGGTAAAGGCGTATAGGCTGTAACAAAACAAAATAACGATAGAAAAACAGGTACAATGGTATAAAACACTCCCTTACAACGGATTAACATTTAATGTAAGCAAACTTACCTCAAAAGGTCCTGTATTCGTATAAATACAGATGTTTTATAGGTAGTTAGGTTACTTGATTTTTAATGATATAACTCGTCAGAATTTGAAAAGAAGGCGAGCACGTGTGCTCGCTTTGGAAATTTAGTAGAGAGTAGGAACGAAAAGAAGAAAAGTAAGAGTGACGAAGAAAAGGATTAAAGAACGATTCTAAATTTCAAAGTAGGTGGCCAGGAACCAGAACCAGAAAAAGGATGATAAAAAGGTGGGATGACGATGAAAGAGGTCGCATCGTCACAGCGTTAAATAAACACGCCTACGTTTTGGTAGCATTGAACTTGGCCAAATTAACAACAGCCCAATTGGTGACAGCTACCAGGACCAAATTGAAATGTTCAAGTACGGTCTACGTGACTGAATTTTTTCTTCTCTAATGCCAAAAATCGGTAAATTCACTAAACAAAATTACGACTAAGAGATGTTTAAAGGAATTACCATTCTTACACTAGCGTCACAGCACATTTTATAAAAATGTAATTTATAATTATCATAATATAATCGAACACTAAGAAAAATTCCTGGATTCGAACGAAAGTGTTTTGAAGCATACCGTGGCTGACACTCTACCAACTGAGCTACGGAACGAACTAGCAGATCTTACGAGTTTTTCTATACGCTTGTTGCAGAACCTGGTTTTGGTTTTTAATGACTTGTTCGCCGTATTAATTAAAATAATTGAATATCATGGTAATATACCAATAAACTTCAAAATAATAAATGTAATTTACGTTAAGAAAAATAGTATTTATTTAATGAAAAATAGTGACAGACATAACATTATTACAAGAAATCAGAAATGGTCAAGCATCCGGGTTTTAACGCAGCGCTTTGTTAATTCGGTTTAAATCGGGCTAAAGTGGTTAAAACCCATTTCTGCCCAAAATCGTGGGCGGAAATGGGTTATCATCATCATCCACAGCCCTACTTCACCCACTGCTGGGTATATGCCTCCCGTAGATTGTGCCATCCACCACGATCCTGTGCTAGTCTCACCCATCTACTTCCTGCAACTTTGGCAATGTCGTTCACCCATCTCGCTACAGGACGTCTCACGTCTCTATATCCATTTCTTGGACACCATTTCGTTATCGCCTTACTCCGTGTTCACCACGTTTCGCAACATGTCCTGGCCGATCCATTTTAAACTGGTGATCCTATCTCCCATGTCCATCTGCACCTTAGTTCGTCTACGGATTTCGGAATTCGGAACACGATCTATAAGTTTCGCTCCATGCTTCTTCTTGCGACTCCCATTCTGTACACGGCCTTCTGTGTAAGCGTCCACGTCTTGGCACCGTAAGTCATAGTTGGGAAAGACGCATTGGTTAAATAAGCGGGTCTTCAAACACTGTGGAGTATTAATCGATTTTAAGATGTTATCCAGCCTACCGAATGCAGTCCATCCCAGTTGTATGCATTTTGTGATTTCATTTTGCTGATGCTCTTTATCAAAGGATAGAATATGCCCAAGATTACCATACTAGTCAACAGTCAAATGGGTCATATTTACGGGTAAATACTACGCAAGTCGATATAATGACACAGGCTTGTCCTAATACGGGGTTGTAATAAAACAATCCATAATTATTACAAATTGTGCGCTTGTGGGTTAATTGAGTATTTATTTGGGTATTTTGTAAGTCTGCGAGCAATAAAAAGTTTTAGACAGTCGTCTTCACGAAGTCACAAATTCATTTAAGGGGCAATACGTATATGTATGCGTTGATATATTCAATTGTAATGTTGATACGCTAAAGCTAAATGGACATCCTATTTAATTTATTAAAAAATTGTGTCTGTTGGCGAAGGTATTGGGTTGTTAAATTTATATAAGTGCATGTTGTTAACAAATACTGTATATTGTTCGCTTTATTTTTATTTTTTTTTAAATGTACACAAACAAAATGTAATCATCACACAGTAACAGATACAGTTTGATAAATAAATATAGTAGATCACATTCCAAAAATAGTGTACACAGCATGATAAAATTAATCTTAGTATTAGGTTAGTGTAAAATACAATCTCAAAATCCAAAAAATTGTAGTAAAAAAATTAATAAATAAGTTTATAAAGTGATTTATTTAAATGGTTAAAAAATAATAGTAATAAAAACAGGACACAAAATGATCAAAAATCGTTGGTTTGTTCAATGCTCGTTTTTGATTTGTCTGAAACTGTAGGCGGAAACCTGTAATAAAAGGCATTATATTTTTTCCGTTTTTATTAAATGGTTGAAGCTGTTGCTTTTCCATAAATAAAAAATATTTAAGGCGTTTACTTCCGGTTTCAAAGCAAATTGAAATGTGTTCGTTTTTACGAATACTGTCCACAACTTAATGCCTGTACTCGAGGCTCTACAGTGTAGCAAGCATCATCTTCCATTTTTAGTATGCATAAATCTTGTCGGTGCAACGCCCTCCGAGTTACTTCATTTCTTTCATCTTCTCCTAAACATGTTTGTATGAACGATGTTTTTTCTAGAAATTTATTTATTAAATGTTTTCTTTCTTTTTCAGGTCATAAATGCTGAGCAGGCGTCTATGGATTCTAATCGGATAACAAGGACTTTTAATATATATTATATCCTTTTTGTTAATTAGCCTTACAAGCATAAAAAGTAACAGTTTTATAAATAAATAAGTTATTCATGTTATTGTACAGAAATTAGCCCAAAAAAGTCGTGGTAGCCTAATGGTTTGACCTACCGCCTCTCAAGCAGAGGCCGTAGGTTCGAACCCGGTCTCGCACCACTGAGTTTCTTAGAATTTATGTGTGAAATTTAATTTGAAATTATCATAATCTTTTTGGTGAAGGAAAACATTGTGATGAAACTTGCACCTCGAAGAAGGTTCACAACCCTCGGAAAATGGGCCAGCGTGACAGACTATGGCTTAAACCCTCGCCTGAGATGTGACCCGTGGCCAGCAGTGGGATGTATAGGTTGATGACGATTCTACAGAAATTACCTTGTAAATTTCGGCCTGAGCGGAACAAATGATGAAAATTTAATGACGAGACGAAACCAAAGGCTTATGATCCACGTTAGAAACTTAATTGCTAGAGCTAGGAATTCACAGCTAAATTGGACCTAGTTAAGCAAAAAAGATCCAAACCACAAAATTATCAAAAAATAAGTACATACATATGTACCAAACGGTTCGTAAAGTCTGACCTCTTAGATCAGCAAAAAAAATCCAACATACTTATAAAAGTAAACAAATATCTCTGGAGTTACATGACATTTTAAGTTTTGTTATAATAAAACAAGAGTGAGAAACACTTAAAGTTCAAACTACCATATCTCCAATTAATTGGGTTCCGAATCAGGTAACCTAAGCCGTACATGACTTTTAGAAATTATATTGTACTTTGGAAGTATAATATAAGAAAACCAAATAATATCGAATAACAGACAACGGAATTTTAACATTTTTCAACTTGCTACTAAAATTGTCCTTTGAACAACATACTTTAGTAAATTATACAATCAGTAAGATTTATTTTTATGAGGGCGGATTGTAACAGATATAAGGCAATGGCAATCCAAAACTAGATCTGTCAAAAGTCCTTCTATTTATCAAAACTTGTATGAACGATGATGAAAGTTGGAAGCTTTTCACGAACTTTAGTATGCAGAGTGGCGGCTCTGTATTTCTAAAGCTTTGTGGGAGCCTTTTGAAAAGCTGTGCGATAGGCAGTCTTGATAATTATTGGGATAGATTTTTAAATTTGAAAAAAAAAAACAAGAAATTTTTTTCAAATGTAAAATTGTTTTCTTTTAGATAACTTTTTTTGGCAATACTATTCTTACGATTCTTTTTCTTTGTGCATATGTCACCTTAAAACCGACTCGCGTTCTAGAGACACACTGTGTCCCAGTAACAATATTGATAAATGAAATTGTAATGTTTAATTAAAAAATAAATTGTTTTTTTAATGGTAGATGAAAACACAACTGCAAAGGGTCCAATTTGAAGGCGTCCATACGATAATTTTCCAATTTATTATAAATAAAAAAAATATTGTTATTGAGAAACTGTTTAATAGGTACAACAGGGTACAACCTTATACATAATCTTTTTAGGTACATTTTTAATTGATTACTTAAAAACTGATACGGTATTTTTTGATACGATTTATATGTCGCCATGGACAATATTCAATAATTCAAATATAGAATATCACTACATAAACTTAACCAAATATTAATGTTATATTTAAGATATTAAGATAATTTTTAAATTGTAGTAGCGAACGGATAAGAGCGAAAATTTCAAATTGTGCCGTCAACTTCTGTAAGTGTAGCTCTGAAGCCTGATATAGAAAACAGTATTTAGTAAAATAGGCGCTGTGAAGTCGAGTTAGTGTTACCATTTGGCAAATATAATAATGATAATAATAATAATGAGACATTTATTCATAAACACATTTACTATAAACATGTTACTAGAAACATGCTCACAATGTAATTGAATCAAGTGCTAATGAAAAGAATGAAGCCTCAGCATGCTGCTTTAAAGATTTCACCTTGATTACATGGACATTTGCTACTGATAATTATTAGACTTCACAACAATTATACATTTTAAATTTGTGGATAATGCTTAAAATAAATTTATATAAATAATACATTAATATATAATTAAAATAAATTTATGTATACTTTTCCTAGAGGCATCAAATTTCAACTCTTTATTTATTATTTTTATTTAAAATCATTTAAAAAAATTTATAAAAATGTTTCGCAGAAAAATGGACGTCTATCCATTTTACTAAAGAGTGACAAGTTTGTCCCCAATTTCGACCAAGTTTTCTTATGTGCTTTATCGCCTGTCCACAGATTCACGTCGCCACCATCGTTTCAAAGGCCTTACAGTAATAAACTTCAGGTTTACCGAGAAGGTCCTTCAGAACGAGATCAACGAGGCGATTCTCAACTTTCACCTTCAGGAAATAGAGAATAGTTGTAAGGACAACACTACCTTCAATCCTGAGGAACCTTACACAATCTACATCCAAGTTAATAGAATCACTAGAAATAGTCAGGGTCAGAAAGCTTCTGTCACTTATGCGAATAACTCCGTTAAGCTGAGTGCAGAGGACCTGAAGGTCGGCAGGTGGCTGAAGGTGAATATCACAAATATGGTGTCGGAGTTCTTCAGACTGCCAAGAGAGAATTTAGCGATAGTAGTGAGAGTACAAGACTCAAAGAATAGAATGAGCTTGGTTGTACCACATCCGAGTCCTGATCCAAATAAAGCATCGGTAAGTCCCCATTTTTACTGTCTTGTAATACACTTGTAACACGCTTGTACACACTTTTGACATCAGTGTACATATTGTAAAAAATTGAGAAGAAAAAATAAATAATTGTGAGATTTAAAAAAATCTTGTTTTGTGATGGACAACCTCCGTGACCGAGTGGCTTGCACACCGGTTTTCATGGTGTCGCCATCTCTCGATGTCCCGGGTTCGAACCCCGGCCTGGTCAATGTAGAAAAAAATTCTATATTGTCGAGACAATATAAACACCGAGACCCGAGGGTCGGGGTGTTTGTGGTACCGTCGTTGTTTCCGATTTCCATAGCACAAGTGCTTTAGTTACTTACTTTAGGATCAGAGCAACGTGGTGTGTGATGTTGTCTAATATTTATTATTTATTTATCTTTAAAATCTCACGATGGACGAAATCTAAAAGGAAAGACTTAAAAAATGCCTTAGTTCCAGATTAACCCGATTACAAAATTTTGACGGAATCCGTACGTAAAGAAAAATAACCCCTAGAGTTGGCAACATTATGAATTATGACAGAATGCTGTAGGCAGGAAAATGACACCTTGATATAAATATTGCGAATTTTGATAGAGTCGAAGGACAAGACGAAATAACACTGAAAGACATTACTTTATAAATGTTTATGGAATCCTGTATACTTCGTTTTCTTTTTGTAGCATTACACAGAAGGAAATTGTGGGTCTTTAACAGGCGCCATTTCAAACCGTCAAGTCAATTATTATGTTTCTTGTACTCATAGCATTCACTAAAAATTAAATGAAAAATATCTATCTTTACATTCCTAATCTATTTCAAAAACATTGCACTTTAAAAGATTTAAAAAAACAGGGGCATTATGGACATTACGAACATTAAGCTGAATTTTTTTTCAATAATAATATACTACACTATTAGAGTTTCAAAATGGCCACCGAAAAGACGATTTCCCGCAAAAAATGACAGAAAATTAAATAATTGAAGAAAAATTAAAATGTAAGATCTGACAGTATGGCTAATATATATATGGTATAACTAATTAGTTAATTACTTATAATAATTAGACGCCTTAGCCTGTTGCGAAGAATGAAAAAAAATACTACCTACTAATAAAATATTATCGTGTCATTTATGAGTGTCATTTGTAATTAATTTTCGTGTTGTTTTCCTTTAATATAATTTGTTGTCTAAAATGCCTGCTTCCTTATTTACGTTTTTTCTAATAAATGTACTCAGTATAAACAAGGCAAAATAATACATAGTGACAGAAACATTGGACATTCAGTCAAAATTCGTGTAGGCATGCCAAAAGAAAACCGAGAGACAATAATAGGTTAAAGTAAAATATTGTTAACTTATTACTAAATAGTCATCAATGCGTTTTCATTCATTTTTACCTAACAAAAATATGGCGTTATATACAAATGGACGGAATTCGCACCTTTGGGTTAATAAATCCCCATCTGCAAAATGTCAACTTTTCATAGAGAGGTTCAAAGATTTTGCGATTTATAGCTGTATAAATACCTTAAAAATTACGATTATCTCTAGTCAGCTGTTGGTAGCTGTAAAGGTGGCTGAGTGAAGAAAATCTCACATAGATTTATCACAGATGGCGCGACGGCAAAAACCAAAAACAAAGATCTGTATACAGAAAAATTCGTAAGGTCCGCTAGTTCGTTCCGTGGCTTAGTTGGCATAGCGTCTGAGACGGTTTGCTGGAAGATGTTGGTTCGAATCGAAAGAATTTTTTACTTAGTGTTCGATCTTTGTATAATAATAATAATAATTGTTTCATGTAGTTTGAATTACTTTTTTATGACTTTCATGTACATCTGGCTTTATTATAACCAAGGGCAAGAATTGGAGGTGTTTTATCGCTCATTACCAACCCTCTCGAGCGAGGGTTTAGGTCTACACAGTCTACAGTCTGCCACGCTGGCCGATTGCGGATTGGGTATTTCATACGTTTTCAGAAGGTTGTGAAACTTGAACGTGTCGGTTCATGATGTTCTCCTTCACCGAAAACCATACATTTTATATTAAATTTCGCATACGACTTCCGAAAAACACACGGCCTCTGCTGAGATGCTTGTAGGGCAAACTATTAGGCTACCGCGGCTTATTATCGCTACAGCTTGAAAAGGACATTAAAAAAGTACTTCTAACAAAAAATCAACTGTAGTCAAAATAAAAAAAAAAATATATAGCCTTTTGAGAACCGGATGAAGTTAGTGACAAGGTCTATGACAACCCTGTACACTGGCTGATCTGGGGTCAGAACCTGAACTTAGAAGATTCCTGTGCACGCTATAGTACCCTTCTCGTATACCCCAAGGGTCGGTAGGATTACTAAATCAAAACTTATGTAGAAAGGAACGGACTGTAGTCAAAATATATAAAGGTCAATGTCTGCTAAAGTGATGAAATCAATTGGCGATTAATTTATATGTCTTGCCAGTCAGTGGTCTGGTTTTATGTAGTATTGCTTATACGTGCTTATATGATTAGATTCGTCGCTATATTATGACTAAGGAACGGACGCCCACGTTGTCATTTGCGTGGTACCCATTCGGAGTAAAGTAACTAATGGGCCAATCTGGTTACAGGTTTATCTGTAAATACTGTTAGGTAATTTCCGGAAAATTTTCAAATGATGGAAATTTTTCCAGAAAAAATTTAAAAAACGGAAAAAATTAAAAAAAATTGGATAAATATAATTTGAAGGTTCATCTTATGTTCTTTCTTTAGAAATATGATATGAAGTTTTATTCAGCGTGAATTATAAAATAAAATTGTATAGCTAAAAGGAGTCAGAGAAAAACGATATTTAAACAGCGAAAAAAATCCTTTATAATCGCTCCATCGTTTTCGTTCTGTAACTTCAACTTTTGAGGAAAAATATAGGGAAATATCCGAAGAAAATATAATTTTCTGAACAATATGTTTTTTAAAAATGGAAATTTTTCTATGACTCTACACTATTTGTAAAATACTAACAACCCCACAGGATCATATCACTAACATTATAAACAACAACTTTCGTTCCATGACTCTTAATAATTTATATATTAATATAGATTGCTCTAATGGTAATAACTCTGTTCACGCGTATACGTTTAGTTTGTTATGTAAACATAATCTTTATTTAGTTAGTAGTTTAATGCTTGTTTTTAAACAAAAAAGTCCTTTTAGTTGATATTCAGTAAATTTTTAGTATAGTGTATGTACATATTGAGCAAATGAAGTTCATTGGTTTTGTTAATACCAGATGGCGCTAGTAACGTTTTATTAATTTTCTGAATGGCGCTAGTCAGATTTTCCCGGGCTCGTATATATGTAGCTCAAAGGTAAGGTTAATGTTATTTAATTGACAATGTGAAATCACCAAAAATAAAAAAGTGCCAATGTCTCGAAAATCAAAAACTTTTACTAAGGTCAAATTTTTTTTTCTGGTAGGTGTAGCGCTCACCTACCCAGTGTCGCTTTGTCGTGGTATTTTTGGGACAGCCTGTATGACACAAACACCCCATATAAAAGTTTAAAAGCAACTAAATAGAATAGAATGCACGAATGTAGAATGTACGAGAACAGAGTGGAAAAACAGTGGCAGGCAATATTTAAGTTACATTTAGTCCTTCTTTTGGTTTTGTACCAGTCGTGGCTCATTTTCTATTACGAAGAATAATAAAAAGATTAAAATTTTAAATTTGAAAACTTCGTAACTCCGTTTCCGTTTTTTTTGTGCCTACTCAATAGTTCACATTAATGGAGTTTACGATGTTTTCGAATTTAGCCGACGATATATTTACTATATTATATACGATAGGGGTGGCCTTATTTTAAGTATGTGTCAAACGGGAAATTTCTTTTAGAAATAATTAAGACATAGACTAAAAGAAAAACGTTTTAACCCTATTTCGCAAAGTTGCAATGTTTAGGGGCGGATATGCAATTTTGCACTTTGCTGTATTGGAATAATAATTACACGTAATAAAATAGTACTTTACTCTATTTCAGATGCCATACGTAGAAATAAGTCTAAAGGACAATTCACACAAACGCGTGAGAAGAACAACAGGGCTGGATTGTACAGAGAATTCAAAAGAACCAAGATGTTGTCGCTACCCCCTCGTCGTCAACTTTGAAGAATTCGGTTGGGACTGGATCATCGCCCCTAAACAATACGATGCTAACTACTGTAATGGGGAATGCCCCTACAGTTTCCTCCAGAAGTACCCACATACGCATATAGTACACTTATCGGCCCCTCAAGGCAGTGGTCGCCCCTGCTGTGCTCCTAGAAGAATGAGTGCGATCTCTTTGCTTTATTTCGACCATGATTTGAATATTAGGTTAGGTACTTTATCGGGTATGGTGGTTGAGAGTTGTGGGTGCTCATAGCTGGTGTTTTTGGTTAGGTTAGGCTTCAAGTTACAATTTGTCTGCAGCTTTAAAGTAAATGATCACAAGAGGATCCCGGCGAAGTCCTACCTGTTTTTCTATCGTGGCGCCACTAATTGCAGATACATTTAAAGGAACAACCAATCGGAGTGCAAAGAACATTTATTTATGCAAACTCATTTGATTATTTTTAATTGACTACAATAACATAACAACAGGATGTCCCACTGGGAAAAATTCAATTCAGCAACAAAATTTTCAATAATGATAAAAGAACTTAAATTTGGAAACATCCTATATCCTAGTACATTTTTGTATTTTCTGAAAAACTACAATTGTCACTTACAACCTTCCTTGACTTGGAGCCTTATTATAATTCTATCGCTATGTGATATTTCTGTTGAAGACTGCGAGTGTGTGCCCGTGAGTGTGAAGTTAGTACATTTTCGTACATTTGTGTACATACGGCAAAAGATATAAGTTACACACAAAAATAAAATGGAAAGTGTTAAAATCAAATGCAAATTATGTAATGTAACATAAAAATTCAAAAATGGTCACTAAAAATTCAATTTTAGCAGATTGTTGCCATGATTTATTAAACAAAGCCATCTAATATTAAACAACCAGCACAACCGTAGTAAGAACCAGCTGAAGACATTCTCAGAACTTTCTACGAGTGTACGTAAGGGGTCAAACACGTTTGATACCACGCCTCAGCACAGCGTTCATACTAAACGTATAATTGTAGCTGTGCTGTATATCATGTTTATGATGCTGATGCGAGCTTACAAATAACCAACCCTATCATATAACCAGATTTTTTTACACATATGCAACTTATATTTTTTACTGTGTGTGCGTATACGTACTACGTAAATTTAGTGTTATTAATTTTGCTGTCACTCATTTTAGTTCTCTAGTTTTCATGATTAATTATCATCAAATGTAAGGATAATATTTTTATTTGTATTGTGGAGTACCTTATTTGAACAAGGCCGAATTAAGGATTTTTTAAAATAATGACTTCAATTAACCTTTTTTTATAAAGACTCATGTTCATATTTTTGGGCAATATTCAGCACCCTGTGACAGTGTAATATATAAGAATACTCAGCCAATTATATGATTAGTATCTTAAGTTGATTCTACACATATTACATTTAAAAAAAATTGTAATCAGTTTCAGAACATTATTACAATGTAAGAAAACACGTTCAGTGTTTCAATGCAGCATGTACTTTTTAGTTATGTACCTAATTATATTTACGCGTTTGTTTAGTTTTTCTACTTTTCTAGTAAATCTTCACCCGCTTCTAGCTAAGTACATAGGTACCTTATTTATTTACTTTAGAATATTAAAAAAAATAATTGACAAGTTTAAATTGTTTTTTTTTATTAAGATTATTTAAAGCATTTGAAGAAAGTTAATGGATGATAGGTGACATTGTCAGCGAGTTGTAGAAGCTTTAAATATGTCATAGTCGAGCAGAAATAATTCAATATTTGGATTTAAATTTTAAATTGTGTTCGCGTTTCTCTTTCGGAGTGCCAAAGGTGAAACATGAAGTTGCTTCAAATCCATAAGCTTCTTTTGTTTGGGCATTTCTATAGAATAATTAAAACTACTAATAAATGTAAATTCTTTCAATTTAAATATGTCATTATCCTAAATACAGTCCTTTGCTTCTTCAAACCAAAACCATGGACAACACGTAATTTTTTAAAGTGCAATTGTGCACCCAATTGCAAATTAAACTACTTTATAATTAATAATAACCGGAAACATTAAAAATAGACATGACATCAAGTTGTTGCTTAATATCTAGACAATTTAGGCTTGTCGTTCGTTTATGAAACCTCTAGATTCATTACTTTTATCTGACTTTTTTATACGTAAAAAAACTTGACTGATAATGCACTATCACCATGCAACAATAACAACGCAAGTTTATCATTTTAACAGTGACATACTTTTAATCTCGATGGAATTTATATTTTTCAATAATAATTACTTTAATATGTTCTAAATTTGAGGTATTAGTTTACCATTACCCATATACACACACACATTTTGTATTTAAGCAAATTTTTGTGTAAATTTTTATTTTCTATTCGACTCTGGCATTAATTTTGGTTTTTCTAAATACCCAAATGACCAACTCTGTATAACTCTATCAATTTATTGGTTTTTTTTCTAATCTGTATTTCGAAAACATTCACTTTAGTTTGTAGCGGGTGGTGCTTAACGTAGGTGAAGCTTTTTTATTTATATTTCATAAAATAAATGAAGTAAACCTTTAAGCAGTGCCTACCCTATTTTTTACTTTAAAAAAACTAATATTATTTTCAATGTATTATTTTGGCGTGATTTTAAAATAGGAATGTGTTTTTTTTTCTAATAATTTTAGGAGGTAAAAAAGATTTTACGAGCGTTTAGAAATTTTTTTTTTCAAAAACTTAGATCTCATTTTTTGGGCTAATATGGTATGCCTTTAGATCTCCAGTCAAGTTTAGATATCAAAATGATGGAAAAATTGTATATTATATTATGCATAGATCGTAAGGAACTGTCTTTATTCTAACTGTATTGTCGGAATTAATTAACATATTTCTTTCATAAGACCTAAATAATATTTAAATTCTTTTATAATAACTCGTATTATTTTTGTGGGTGTAGAGTCTTTTTATATGAAAAATATATGTCTTTAAAATAAATGAAATTCTTTTTTATCACATCCCTTCACACACTGATCTGGCAAACTGGTAATAATAATGTGCCCGACAACCTCGCCATTTGCCTGGTGTCAACCTAAATTAAAAAAGTAAACTTCGCACATTGGTCCTATCGGGATCCGAACCCAGGACCTCATCGTGAGCACACTGTACAGACTTGCACAACGAGGTCATTAAATGTATTATCAAATATAATATTGACTCTTCGAGCAATTGGTTATATTAATAAATGAAGATAAAAGCAATAAATAATGTTAATGTCATCTTAAGCAATTAAAGTCACCTTTTTTTATTAAAAAATAGAGATAGTGGTTGCCTTGACTGCATCAAAATCAACATCGTATTTACTTAAACCCTGTATGAATAAAGGGAAAAAAAAACATACATTACTTTTGTGACATCCTCTCAGGAGTGTCGACTCTTTATTTATATAAACTTTAAATTATTTACACATTTTGTTTGTCCTACTTTACACTTTAATATACTCGTCAACGCTTTTAAAATACAATCAAAAACAAAATAATATAACAGAAATACACATGATATAATGTACAAGTTACATTAAACTGTGGGAGAAATTGTTAGACTAGTAAATCCAATTTTAGAAAAAATAAACATTCCCACATTTTATTTCATTACATTTTTTCCAAAGTTACTGTATTCTCTGATTACATCTCTGATTGAACTGTACAGTAATATTTTCTAAAGTTCAAGTGTTTCCAGTTTTAGTTAATTTAATACATTTTAATGTATTTGACACTATAGCAGTCGCGATAGTAAATTCGTTACCACTCTACTCTAAAAAGTTCGCGTTCGATGTTCAGGGGAAAAATGACGTTAAAGCCAATTGTAATTAAATGATTTAGTGATCTACTTATGTAAAATTTTCAGCGCCAACCGGCGGACGGGAAAGCAGAGGACGGATGCTATTTCAATTGTAGTAAGGTATAAATTTCAATGCTCTGGGAGCGGCCTCTTAGTAACGCAGCGCATTTCTTATTGCGTCTCAGAGCATTGGAATTTATACCTTATTCCAGGTGAAATAGCATAAAATATACATTGATAAATTTAATATCTTCTGCCTTGCCGTCAGTTGGTTTGAGCAAATGCTTATTTAGCAAAATGTGTAATTTTTATATAAAGATAATCCAATAAATAAAGAACGTATGAATGAAAACGTAAACCTTGTAGTTCAGGTTTTTACGCCCGTTCTTCCCCGAAGAATCGATATACGAGCCGTTACACTTTAGCAGCGACGCAAACGCGATATAGTCGCTAATCGTGTACCTTTTACACAAACGCGCGATTGCATCACTACACTTGGGATTTAAAGGCGATTGCATCAGTGCAATCGCGCGTTTGTATGCAGTCGCGCGTTTACATCGACGCAATCGCCTATAAATCGCAAGTGTAGCGATGCAATCGCGCGTTCGTGACACGCGTTTGCATCGCTGCTAAAAGTCGTCGTGTGTCTCTAAGGTTAATATTCTGTTAAGGTTAAGTAGTGACATTCCATATTTGAATTATCGATTGTTTTTTTTTTTAATATGTACATGTTGGTATCAGAGCGTCGTAAACGTCCTTAACTAATCAATTATAGTTTACCTCAGTTTATTAGAACCGGATCTAAAGATTTTTAAATACTTAATACGTTCGACGTTTCCGTAAAATTTGATTAATAATAATATAATAATGTGCTAAACAACCACACCCGTTGCCTGGTCTCAAACTAAGTAAATACCTGTACCATGAGTACCAGCGCAACGGCATTCACTCCGTAGCACTACCCGGATAACCCAGATCAGAACCCAAATTTAGAAAAGTTCACTTCCCATATTGATCGTACCGAGAATCGAACCCGGGGCTGCCGCGTTGGCTTACCGAGGTCGTCGAATGATCTCAAAGCTTGAACTTTAAATAATGGAACTGTGTTATAATGGAAATCTCTCTCTATTTTGGTTGCACATTACTGATATGAAACTTATACCCCAGACAGATGTATTGCCTTCTGGTGTAGTTATTGGACTAGTGCTGCACCAATGATTCTGCGCTGATTTGCAGCGCATCGTCATTTTGTATAGAGATAAACTGTAACACAACATCTGATTGAAGAATATAACAGCGCTGAAAATATGCGGCTGAGTTTGCAAGGCAAGTGATACAAGCCGAAAAATATAACTAGCTCTTTACCAATAATGAAAGAAAGTTTTTATTCCGATTCTTGAACTTTGAAAAAGTTATGAAATTAAAAAAATTCTGTGACGTCAATAGACAAGCCTTTGTAATACAGTAACCTTGAACTTTTCACAAAGTATTCCATAAATTTTGGCCTCATTATAAATGATTATAATACATTAGCTATAAATTATCGTGTTACATCCTACATTAAACCGGCCAACAATTTATTAAATACTTAACAGTATACGTTATTATTTAAGACCATCCAAAATATACAAGAAAAAAGAGAAACTAATATATTGTACTTGTATCTTCTAAACAATTCCTTATATTATTGTACGGTAAAATAAACATTATTTCCATGGCATTAAAATTAAATCTACGTTGTGTAGAAATAATATACTTTTTGTTTTTTTTTTAATTACGATTTTTCAATAACACTAAGTTTTCTAAAATGTACAGATAGTGCACAACATCAAGTGGTGTCAGTCTATAAAAGGTTGGATGGAATTTTCAAAATTTGTTGAAATTAATATAAAAAGCTGTCGTATTCTAAATTAAATTAAATATTATATACAAATCACTTTAGTCAATTATGATCAAAAGTCGGAAAAAGGTGTTCCAAATATACAGATACATGTTTAGATAAAGCGACAAGGAATGACATAGAGTCGTTAAAACCACCAAATTTTAATTCATTACTTTTTTTCGAATTCTGGATTTCCGGAAATGGTTTTACTGCATCGTAGGACAAAACTACTCATCTAGGAAGTCGAAGTTGGATTTTAAAGTAATTCTAGTGGTGTCATGTAAAAAACTACAGTAGATAACCGAGTTTTCATTACAATTCCTGCTTGGCGGAAAAATGAAATAGATGATAGTTTTGTCCTACGATGCATTAAAACAAATTCCGGAAATCCGGAATTCGAAAAAGTAATTAATAAATATTTGGTGGTTTAAACAACTCTACGTTTGTAGCTATATCTATACATGTATCTATGTATATGGAACACCTTTTTCCGACCCTTGATTATGATTGTTAAGTCCATTCAAAAATTGCTAAAGTTGACAGTATATACTGTAATTTTGCCAGTAATATAAAAAGATTTAAAAAAAATCATTTTCACAAAGAATGGCAGTGACTACTATAGCTGAACTCCGCAAAGATCTATTTTATTCTACAATAATATCTTTAGAATACATTATAGATTTTACAAAAGTTCTACAAAGATCTGAGTGTAGTTTTTAGTTACAGAATTTCACAAATAGATGGCGTAATACAAACCTTTGAGACGTCGGCACCTCGAAACATGAACCGTGACATATTCATAACATAGGAAATTGTATCCACATTACGAATAACATGACAAAAACCTACGAATTTCATTTTAATGGAATCCTCCGCTAGATGGCGTGATTTTAAAAAGCTTTGGGCCCAAAGGTGTACCTTGAGGGACACCTTTAATAGTTCCACTAATTAATAAACTATGTAATTAATTCTGTTCTATATTGGCTTAGTGCTGCAAGAGATTTTCAGTCACGTTTCTACTATTTGTAAAATCCTGCGTTTGTAAACTAGATAAACAAGCGGAGTCTTACAAGGGTCAACTAAGAGAACCTAATTCTAAAGCATACAAAATGAAACATCACAGATTTTCGTACCTACAATAAGATAATGCAAATTACTGAAAATGCCATGATCAACAGAATTTTTACGATAAAAATAGCATAGTGTAAAAATTAGACAGTGGTCCATCTTCCAAAGAACTTAATACACATATTTAATAACGCATTGTAAACATTAAAATTACCTTAATTATTAACATAGAAAAAGTTATACAAAAATTGCAAATACAGTAAATTAATTTCAATTTAACGCCTAAGATTTCGTCAAGTAGAAGACATTAACCAAGGATAATAAAACTAATTAAAAAAACTTTTAATATGATAGTACCGCTGCGATTGCGCTTCTAAATATTGTATGAAAATTAGTAGTGCACATCAGAAGTTGGACCACCAAACAATAAATTACACTACAGAAATATTAAGGTCACACTGGAAGTACTAAAAGTCTAGTACTAAACATTATACGTATATACAAATTTGTTACTTCCGCCATTTTTAAAAGTAAAAGTTGAGCTTTACATTTAAATAGGATCACAGTGGAAAAAGTGATTTAAGGTTACTTTAACAACTATAGTCCTTTCGTTCGTATAGAAACTTGCATTTCACCACAAATTTATATAAGACCAATAACTGCAAACTCGTTTTGAACTTGTTACTTGATTTTAAAAATTGTGAAATAACAGTTTCTGAAACAACGAAAGTCCTAACCGTCTATAAATACGTTTTAAAGTCCACATTATGGCAAGTTTTCTACGTAAACGCTATCACTTATGTGTCACTATTACGGTCTATGTCTACGTCCATAGAAAAATTCACTATTTCTGTACAACTTTCCAAAGTTTACAACACTCGTTACGTTAATTTCGTTAACGTCAAATCACTTGAACAAATCTATCATTTCTCTGCACTGTTTAAAAACTGGGCTGTGATACAGTTCTAGGGTTCCCCGGTTGGGGTTGATAAACGTCGTAGGAATTATGTGGTTCCAAATGGCAGACAACGTTGTTTTCTCCATTTAAAACTGCGGCTAGGGCTCTCATATTGTTTTCTTGCGGCTGGTGATACGGATGCATTAACCTGCCGCTTTCATAAGCGTGTCTCGGGTCATACGTGTCCCATTTTCCGTATTTCCCGTAATGTTCGTCATGTAGGTGCCTATCCCCTGGACTATAAGAGATCAAAGGTCGGTGATCACCAAAAAACTTAGAACTTGTCGAGCCGTGATGTCCAGGGTTCTGACGACAGTTGTCAGGCCCCGAATTATCATCTGACATGTCTGACATTAATGTCTCGTTTCTCTCGATTTCCTCGTAAACTGGATCGTCTTGGATAACTCTGAATTCTTGTTCTGATCCACGTCTATAAATCCTTCCTTGTTGGGATGCTATTTCGGAGTACGTATGATTGATGTTCTGACTGCCATGATGGTGGTGATGTTTGCGTCTATTATCATCTTTATAGTGTTTCCTGAAAATCATTTCCTGGCTGCCTGGAGAGTGTTGTGACATAAAGACATGTGGGTTGCGAAAGTCATGGTTGTAGCTGCGAGTGGTTTGGTACCCTTGAGGATGGTGTAGAGGACTTTCTTCGTCCTTGATGACATGACGTGGAGAGCCAGGTGCGATGGGGGCATCGCACTCGTTGTATTGGGCATGGAGATGGTTCTGTTGGGCCATTTGTCGAGACAACGTGTCGTGGTGAGGCAGAGTCGAAGTATTGCCGACGTGGTGCTTAGAAGAAGTGTTCTGTACAGAAGGAAGGATGATTAGTACTTTGAAAAATGATTAAAACATTACTAACGACAGTATCATTAGATACTACTTTAAAACATTTCTAAAAGGAAGCAACTATGAGGTGTAACAGCTCAATTTTTTTTTCTAAAAATATCTTCTTTAGTACATTAATTTGGGTAAAATGTAGAAATGTCTAATTTCTAAATAGATTTCTAAAAATTATTGCTAATCTCCGACTATAGCTATACAAACGAATTCTTTAAGAAGTTAGGTACCAAAGATACAATGTTGATAATACAGACTGCAACATGAAAAGTAAACCAAATACTAACTTAAATGTTTCTATAACGCAAGAACTTGCATGCAATTTAATTAAAACAGTAATATTGCCTTTGCTAATGCCCAAAGACGACGGTAGCCACTTACTACCTTTTGGACCGAATGTCACTTTACTAACTTGCAAGGTAAATGCGTGCAGATTCTTGGATAGAGACTTGTCTTACAGGTTTTTCCTCAAATTGCCACCGGGTTATTATTCCAACATTTGTGAATCAATTTCAATGATTCTTTTTTGTTAGAAAGGGGGTACCTCAGTAGTGGTCTCATTCAAATTTGAAGATAGTATTCCACCTCTTAGGGTGGCAAATTAGGGATGAATCCGGTTTATTGAACTACATCCACTTTCCGTTAACCGATTACAATAAAACTTTGCAAATAGATGTAACGAACACAGCAAAAGAGGATAAGCAAACGTTTGAGATCGGTTTTTTTTCTACATAAAAAGTTACAATTATGGTATATCTTATCGCCTTTTAAGATCATATCGTGATGTCTAGTTTGGACATGATAGGCAGAGATCTGATACGCCAAAATGATACTAAAGTAGTACCGGCTATTAGGAAGACAGATCGTGTTGTTTAACAATAATATAGAATAAACAGTGGTAAAACTAGAAATGGTTAAAACTGATGAACACGATGCTATTGGTAGTGTTTTATTGAAGGAGATGGGCAGGGCTACGTATGTACAGTGAGTGATCATGCATGCCACGCTATAGTTAGGATCTCATGCAGTTATGATTTGTGACAACTTTAGGAAGATCTCTTGAATCTGTAACTGAGGTTTGGGCGCCTGTCACTTTGATAACGTGATGCTGAGGTGTAAAAAAAATTGTGAAAATTTGTATGTATATGACTTGTAAATGGTAATGATTACTTTCTTAAAACGTGTTTGAAGGATAAGTGGAAGGCAAGCGCGTGGACGCGTGGAATTTCGAGTTCTTATTCGATATCTGAAAATCTTGTTCTTTGTCCTCCCTATACGACGTGACTCCTACTTTTTAACGTAAAAACTACTGACGATGTAGCATGCATACCTAAATAATGCCTATTTACTCTTGCCTTGAAGATCCAAGTTATAGTGTTCGGGGAGCAAGTCCAGAGGCAGGGAATTCCACACCCTGGCTGCTCGTAATATAAATGTACAAGCGAACGCTTCGTGCGAATCCATTCAAATTTGAAGAGAATATTCCACCTCTAAGTGTGACAAATTAGGGGATGAATCCGGTCTATTTTATTTCACCCACTTCCCTTTAACTAATGTCAATAAAACTTAGCAAATAGTTGTAAAATCATAAACATTTGAGGTAGGTTTTTGTAAGTTATATATTTTTTTCAATTAGTAATTATAGTGAAAAATAACATGGTTTGCATTGATATTAGACATAAGTCAATGACTTTACCGTATCAGACAGCCAAGACCCTGAGTATTTCCGTGGAGCAACCCATCAACACTGGTTAATGTAATAATCGAATTCAGTGTTTTTTTTAATTTGTTATTTTTTTCTTTCGGGCAAATCATCATTTAATGTAATGATGGAGTCATAAAAATATAAAGTGAAGTGACAACCGTGAACATGAGATTTGTAAAGGGCGCGAAACGTTTAAAAAAACAGACATGCGCGATTTAGATACGGAAAACAGTTTCATTTCCAAGATTTTCAGAGATGAATTTTACTTTTATCAACAAGAACCTAGCTCTAAAATCTAAGATGGAGGATCACGTCGGAGCTTAAGGAGTGTTATTTTCTATAATTGAGTTTTCTGTTAAATATTACGTCTTCTGGTGCAAAAATAGTAGTGCTGGAATTTTAAACTATTTAGTGAAAATTTGATTATATCAACTGTTGAAAAGTAAAACGAAAAAGTGACACTTAGGTCGCAAATTTATTATATTCGATAATAAAATTTGTATATAAAACTAGATCTGTCCCACGTAAAATTTTGTGAAACAGTAAAACTAAATCTAATGGACCTTCTAATATTGCCCACAAATTGTATTATCTAGATATAACTCGTTTTCAATCTAAGTGTCGCTTAGCACCTTTTACCTCGCAGCCATCGATATGGTACCTACGAATGATGGCGAAAGAGTAAAGGAGATTGTGATTATGTACCATTTTTAAAAGAATGAGCAATAAAAACATCCAACAAAACTGACGCAATGTGAAATTGTGAATAGACACACGTGGACCTCGAGATCTTACTAAAGCATTCTAAAAAACTCAATAAGAAAACGTGTTCACAACCAAGCATTTATACAGCCCTCCCCTCACCTTCCATACACCCGCATTCGCCATGAGAGCCCACTCGTTCGCGCCAATTGACGCCGCCATTTTGTTGGAAAAACAAGATGGCGACCGCGATCGAAGATTCTGGTAATCGTTAACGTCGATATTGTTTCTGTAGCTGTGCATCGACGCTATGCTTTGCGTATGCGATGCACTATGCGGTATATTTTGCGGCGTTGGAACGCGAATTGATCTTGTTTCGTCACTTGGTACATAAATTGGAGCGGATGGTCGAATATTCCATCTTCCTTCGGGCTGTTGCAAGTTGTAGCTCTGTTCGTGTTAGAAAGTAGTACATAATACATAGATATCTAGTACTATATATACACATACTTATATGCTAGACAGGTTTATAATATAATATAGAAGTACCAATGCATACATATGGGCGTCGACAATATCTGAAAATATCTTGTACAAAATTTCGATCAAAGAAATCTATAGAGGATTTTAAGCGATGGCATACGCATCATATAGAGATAGGATTTTTTTAAATTTTATAATTTTAACTAAATGGATCAAGCAACTTTTAACTTTATATTAAATGCGTTAGAAATTACCTTGATATAATTTATGCGAAAACTAAATCTTTAAAAACCACCACACCACTAAAGAAAGTGTTATTTGAAGTTTGTTTTTAGAAAGTATAGAGAAAGTTAGTATTTCTATAAGCGTTAGTGACAGAAAGAAATAAAACGAAAAAGGACTTACCGGTTTTATTTATGGACACGTAATTGCGTTTAGTTTTACGCAACGTGTTTCAAAAGTCCATACAGACAAAACGTGTTTTTTTTTCGAATTGTTAGTAACACATATTAACAACAAAACACAAAACAATGTAAAACACAAAAGGTAAACACAAAAATTGAGCTGTCTTCAACCAATTAGTCACATGAAAAGCCAAAGTGGTTTGGTGGTTTATTTTTATTTGCAAAGTGAATTTTGAAAATCCTATCTCTGGGGACGGTGGCTATACTACGAATATTCGCCTCTAAAAAATATTTAAACGAAAAATATTTAAATATTTAAGTAGAACCATTTTATGTCATACAAAAATTTCACAGAATTATAAATCGACTGGAATATCACGTATAAATTAAAACAATGAATATCTTATACTTTGTCCAATGTAAAGTATGTACGTTGTTATTGTGTGTTGTCTTTTTTTCAGTGAAAAAAGAACTTTACTTAAATAAGAAATAAAGTCATTTATTAACAATTTTTTTATCTTTCCACAATGGCGACTACAGGCATACAATCACAAGTAACCAATGAGAGACCAATAACTTTCCATTTATAATCTAAATGATTACGTAAATAACTTCATAGTGCGAATATTTACAGTTTAGCCACAACCCTAATGCGTATACGCACCTTGTTGTACATTCTGTCTATATCCTTGCGGGTATCTGCCGCTTCCTGCGTTTATAGGATTGCGTAGATGCGACATAGGGGCTGAATCCCTTTCTGGTATATTATGAGGAAAGCTAGCCGCTGTAGCGTTCAAAGTAGGACCAAAATTGGATGGTCCAAAATTTTGACCTTGATTCTCCTGAGAATTTCTCCTATTTCTATGTGAATGGTAGCTATGTGCGGCGGCAGCGGCAGCTAGTGATGCTACAGCGGCGTTATTTATAACGTTATTGTTGTTATGGTTGTTGTTATTAACGACCACGTTTAGGTTGTTGATAACCAGGTTGTTGGTTGTCGACGCCGATACGGATGTACTTGCTGAGCTCTGTTAATACAAATTGAAATTTAATTTTGGGTTTTTATTGCTTATTTACAGTGAGAAATGTGACCTTATACATACATCTAAGTAATAGGTATTATTGAATGATAACAATTTTATTTTTATATATACGAAAAAGAACTTATGACCCTTAAGTACACTCACCGGCACATTTCGCGGTACACTAGAAAAATACCCAAAATAATGCAGCGCTTTTTTCAAAAGTCTGGACGTTTATTTTCCTTTTTTATTTTAAGTCTAATTTGAAAACAAAAAATTGTCGAGTTTCATTTTTTTATTTGTTTTAATTTCCGACTAATACAGGCAGGTTTGATTCGAGTAAATTTCGTTAACTTTAAGCATTCTTTTCAAATTAATTAACTGTGATTTAATTAGTGTTAAACTGTTACAATTTATAAATTTTCAGCCATCTCTGCTCTGCCACATAATCTAAATTATTAATATTAGAAATATAAATATTACTATTTTGTATTCCCGCTTTTTTGTTACGTTAAATGTGCCAGTGTGTGTATAACAGATGAATAAAAATGTCCCAAAAATGTATTCCATCACCAATTACGAACTATAAATTTATTTATTTATTTCTAAAAGAGGTTTAAGGCATTTTTGCCAGATAAACAGAGCCTACCAAGTCGAAGAACTTGACCTCAACTTATAAGCACACATTCATGACCCCTTCAAGGCCTGCGGGATGTGAAAAAACTATCGACCAATCATCAAATTGTAATGATGTACAAAGCACGAATTACAGTTGTTTCGATCTTAGGCCCAAAAAAATGATTGGTTGAAGAGTTGAGTCTTACAAAGACTGGCCGTGAATATTAATTGTCAAGGAAATTGCGTATAAGCCATTACATATTACAGTTGACGAAATATTATTTGCACGGATTCGTCTTATTGCTTCATCTTTAGAGTACAATAGGACAAAATAGTGAGCCATCTCGGTAACGCACGTGTCATCTATATAGTGCAAACTAGTTTAAACACTTTTCCGCATTGGCACTTATTCTAAACTTGATAATCTTTATACGGAACTAACTATGTTCAATTAGTAGGAAAAGAGTCGGCAGTCAGTATTTTATATAGTAACTACAGTTTAAAAAATGACCTGATGAGTAAAGAAATAATTCAAAACTAGAATTAAGAAAAAGCATTTTTCAACTCCTGTACAATCAATGTATAATCTGTCAATAAATGTACAATCTGTCAATTGTAATTTTAAAACCATATCATAAAGGCGCTCTCGCTTTTAGTTCTGAATCAAAATTCTATCGTTTATGGTACTCGCCACTGAACAGAAAAATTTCATTAAATTTTTATTTAATTAATATTCAATTATTTTTTGTTATAATTATTAATACAAAGATCGAACACTCAGAAAAAATTCCTTCGATCCGGCCGGATTCGAACCGACGTCTTCTAGCTTACCGCGCCAGACGCTATACCAACTAAGCAACGGAACGAACCAGCGGACCTCACGAATTTCCATGTGCTTGCGTCGTGTCTTTGTATTTGGTTTTTCAACGACTTTTTAGTCGTAGCGCCATCTATGAGATCGAAGGATTTTTTCTGAGTGTTCGATTTTTGTATTAATACTTATAAATTCATTAAAGCTCTGTACACAGAATTATAATGACTTTCAAAAAAGAACGTCGTATTTTTGCTAACTAAATATCAATTAGGACGCTACTTAATCGTTATATTGCCTCCTGATCGGTTACATTGGCCTAAAAGTCATGCGCCCGGGCTCGTAATGCGGCATTTGGCCAGTTCTATCTCTTGGGTTTTTTTATTTTGTAGCGTTTATCTGGCTTTCGTATATATAGAGGCTCTATGGTGGAACATTTGCCTACCCTAATAAATGGCTTAAAATTTATCAAAAAGACGAACTGCATTTGTAGTCATGGACTGTTAACAAAATATATTAAATATTGATTCTGTTTCATTATTTTATTTACTCCTAGAAAAATTATTGTATACAATCATTACATAATTAGGTTTTAAAATCTCGCACCTATTTAAAAATGTATAAACACGACTCGACTTTAAGAACCCTCATTATGCAATGATTGCTATTGCTGAATGATTGTAAAATACTATTAGCGCACCCATGACTGACTGACATGGCCATCGAACGGACCAAGATCATTAAATCAATATATACTTTGAGTAAAAGACGTTGTAATGGTTTTATTATTCCGTTGCAATAGATAGAATAAACGTTCTGAGAGATAACATTCATCGTTGCAAATAATATTTCTTTAACTATACAGAACAAATCAAATTCAGAGTGATTTACTAAATCACTATAATAATAATGTGATAACCCTTACGCTCCGAGGGCGTGTGGGTATTGACGCGCTGTAAAGTATTTTTTTTTATATATATATACTGTACATATCGCGTCTTAATATATATGCATAATGGACATTCTTCGAATATATAAGAATATAAAGAACAATTTACCGTAACATCTCTAGGGTCTACAATGTCGTCGCTCTCAGCTGCCGCACTCTGATGGTACCGTCTTCCTTTAGTAGACCCTTGACGTGTGTCAACGTGGTTGGAGCAGGAGGCGGTGGGTGCGTTGTTGGGTAACGGTTGTGAAGACGATGATGTCGTGAAATGGAGGCAACATGAAAGCCAGGGGTGACGGCGGCCGAGGCGCGCGCATTCCTTTTGAAACTGCAGAGTAAAATTATTTTTTGAGATTTCTTAATCAAGCTAAGTAGACTCTCAAAGCGTCGTCTTAGACTGAAAACCTCTTATGTGATTTCTATGTAGTTTTTCAGGACGAAGACAAAAATGTGGTGTAAAATGTAGTATACGCAAAAATGTTTGTAGTTTGCATTTTTAACCGACTTTAAAAAAGGTGGAGGTTCTCAATTCGACTGTATGTTTGTGAACATGTGTGGAGATTTTTATGATTCTTTTTTTGTTGGAAAGAGGGTACCTCCACAGGACCACCCATTTAATTCTGAAGAAAACCATCCACCTCTAAGGGTGGCTGTTCACGCATGAAGATTCATTTTTATACATAGCGCGTACATTTTATTATAAGGAGCAATTATTTTAATGGTTGATTTTGCTATTCTCCAATTCAAGGCGTTTTTCTCTCTATATATACCTTGAGTAGTGAGAACCGATTTTTATTATTTCCTGTGTCAAGTTCCGTGTAGTGGCGAAATTCAATAAAACTTGGCAAATAGATGTAATTACACGTACTATTGAGGTCAGTTTTTTTAGTACTCTGTACTGAGATTATAATTAGTTAAATTATACCCCTTTCAGATACTATATTACTTTAATAATATACATGAGCAAGAAGTTTATAGGTTTTTCGTCAACAAAAATCAGTAAAAACGAACTATGTGAAACCGCGTATGCGAGGTTTTCACTCTAAGGCGAGGATAGATAGCAAACTCAATATTAATATTATTAGCAATACGCACCCATGCACGTAAGTATGTACGCATGTATTATACATACGCACGCGCCTACGTTTCTAAATTCACCATTCAAGTATTCGATCGTCATTTTGCAAAGATTATTTAAAATTGAAAATTATGTCTTTGCTACACTTTTCTCTTGTAATAAGTTAGATAGTGTGAAAAGTGGTCCCCAATAATTTGTATTGGTATAAGATACGAAATAATAATAACATATATTTAAAATATACAACACTTCTAGGTTTCTTATCTTCAGCAGCATATAAATTGAACTTAACAATAGAATAATAATAATATATCTTGGTTTTAAAGTGTAAAATGCGCAGACTAGAACCAATTCAGAAAACTTTATTTCCTTAATTGATCCTACCCTGTACCGTACATGCGTAAGATTGAATTAAACTGTAAATGTATACTTACGATTTCATTTTGCAAACAGTGGAAGATGAAAATAAACAACCCCTGCAGGGAGTTGAGAATGGTAAATGCGTATGCGACGCCGACAGTCTGCTCGTTCAAGTACAGTAGCCCGAACGTCCATGTCAAACCGAGTAAGAAAGCTAGCACTAGTGAGCTGTTCAGCCATACCCTGGAATTAGAGATAAAATATTTGTTAAAATTTTAATAGATCTTCTAAAAACTATAATATTAAGTTATATATACCGTTGTAATCAGCTAATGTTACTTATTCCAACGATATATATAACTCAATATGACCAAAAGTGTCGCTTAACCCATTTCGTCTTCCAAGCGTCGATATACAAGATAACCTTTTTTATAACAAACAGTTAACAACAAGATTAACGTAGATACCATCGGAATTGGAGCACTTTTGTCTAGTGCTTATTAAATTATAACAAGTGATGGGAGACGAGCAAGTCGTGCGTCTAATGGTCAACGACACTCCTGTCCATAGCAGTTGCGGTGCCACTTATAGCTAGAGCCACTTTAACTGCGGCCGTCACATTTAGACATAAGTTGACAAATCCCAAGTGCTTGTAATTTCACCAGCATCCTTCAAAACCGAAATGCAGTAATAATCACATTATCGCTTGGCAGCAGAAATGGGTATGATGGCAGTACTTCAACGGATGAACTCTTTCACAAGGACCTCTATTAGACCTATTCATGTGTATGACATGCGCATGCGCAATAAGGTTTCTTCTATTATCGTATCGATGGCATACACTGTAATGTTTTCCAGCCAAGGATCACCAATAGGCGCAAGGCGTTCTTTTTGAGTCTTTGCTTTTTATTTTTCTTTTTTCAGAGTTTTGATAGAAAGCTTAGTTCCGACGAATAACGTGTATTTACATAGCATTATATAAAGGAAATAACATACTAAATACATTGAATATGTAACATAAAATGGCAGAAGATTTAGAATGTTTTTCTGTGTACTATCAGACACTAGAACATGTGTTTCGCTCATCATATGGCACTGTTAATACAATGGTGTATTAACTCAAAAAGTGTATTTTTTCAGGGAAAAAATAATTTCATATTTTGCATTAGGACTGTTTTGTCCAGAACTAGCTCACAAAAAGTTTAACTCATATTGAGTTTAGCGGAGATCTTTTAATTGTTTCTCACTATATTTCAACGACGGTTTTATTGACGTGTAGAGAATAAAATTCTACGTTCAACGATAGTATATTCTTAAATTTTACATATTTGGAATTGCAACACTATTGTAATAGCAGTGCGATATTATGAGTAATAACAATATAATAATAATAATAATAATTTATGTATTTTCTCTCAACATACAAGGTAAATTGTATAAATGCTTACTGACTAACGAGTTTCTTCTACATTAAAACCTTATTTGCGAGAGACTGGTGCCTGAGATAGGCATAAAAATTCCTGTATTACAGGTCACCAGGACGCCGTTCTTACATTTATGTTAAAATTAATTTTACATAGATTAGGTAGATACAGTAAATCAACAGTAAAATGGATTTAAATGCATTATGATTAATTCATGACTTTAAATTTGCAAAATTATAAATTATTACTTTAAACTAGATTATTACCTGATTTTGTAAAGTTTGGAGTTTTCTTTTGCCTTAATAGAGACGGTGGAGTGGTGGCACATCATGTAAATTACCATGCTGAGGCAAATCCAGTTGGCCTGAAACACAAAATTATTGCATGATGTATGGGTGTATTCTCATCATCATCATATTATCCGGAAGACGTTCACTGCTGTACATAGGCCTCCCCAAAAGATTTCCAGACTAGCCGATCGGACGCGACGTGCATCCGTCGGTTACCCGCCGCCCTTACCAAGACATCCATCCATCTAGTAGGGGGTCGTCCCACTGAACGCCTTTCGGTTCGTGGTCTCCATTCGAGAACATTTCTGCCCCAACGGCCGTGTGCCCTTTTTTATTTTTATTTTTTTGACGGGGGGGAAATCTTTATGGATACCCCTGAGCCCAGGGAGACTCAGGGGTTATGTGGGGACTCTCCCTCCACACTGTTTGCTATGTGCCCTGCCCACTGCCACTTCAACTTATTAATCCTTCGAGCTATTTCGATCACATTCGTTCTTCTAACGGATCTCCTCATTTCTGATTCGATCACGTAGAGAAATGCCGAGCACTGCACGCTCCATAGCTTGTTGCTGACTTTGAGCTTTTTTATGAGGTAGGTAAATTTTGAAGTAGGTTTTTTTTATGATAATCTTTTAATGAGCAATTTAGTTTTCAAATTAAAAATATATTTAATATTAGTATACTACACCAACGACGTTCCATCATCTCGCCTGACTCAGCTGACTGGACTTTACAATGTTAAAAAACTTCAAATATGTTGTCATACCCATACCCTATAACTACAACTTGTAGTCGTACCCTATAGCCATATGCCTTAAATCGATTCATAATTCGCAACACCATGCAATTCACTGCTAAGTTGGTGGTTATGGACGATTTGGCGTGCTTATTTGACGGACAAAAATAAAGTTTTATCTTACCGCCAACACGAGAGCGACAGGTCCAACGAAGCTCATAACAAATAAACGGTCAGTGGACAGCCAGCAGTGCCTCGAAGTACCGTAACCAGCAGGAAACGCTGCCGCACTGGCTAGTACGACTAGTGCAGGCGCAAGGTATGCGCTGGCGCAGTACCAGCGAGCGCGAGGACGTTCCGGCTCGAAAACTTCGACTAGCATTGCGTAGAGATGAAAACCTGGAATGTTATGATAAATATGACAACAATGTAATCAGAGACTGGTTTTAACCGCCACTTTCAGTCTTTTTTTACAGTATGATGGTAAGCTACACGCCTATCCATAACAGTTGCAGTGCTACTCAGAGATTTAAATCACAAAGATCTGAGGGGAACTGCCACTGCGCCCGTCACCATTATATATAAGTTGACAAATACCGTGTGCCTGAAATTTCACTAGCACCCTTACCCTTTAAAACCGGAACACGGTAATGCTGACATTACGGCTTGGCGGCAGAAATAAGTAATACGCTGGACGAACTATTTCACAATGAGCTCTACTGCTACTGCAGTTTCTGGCATTTGGTTTCGCTTCCTTCATTTGCAGACATAAGTTTGATATACTACGGAAAACCTTTGACAAGGAATTATCATAACACAATACCTTCTAAAAACATCCAAGCGAAAGCAGCGAGGAAGAAGTAATGCAGCAGCCCTGCAATGACTCCGCATAGGATGCGATCTTGGGTCTGATCGATGCCACACATGAACACGACTTCAGCTATCAGCAAGCAGGCGCAGAGATTCTTGTGGATTAGCACGCGGTCAGACTGTGGACAAAAATAATAATTTCTAGCACTCATCACCTCAGTAAAGCTTATTCCCCATCTCAGTCGTCTCTCGACTCCTGCTAAACCTCAAAAACCAAACCAAAACCAAAAAATGTCAAGTTACTAAAAAGCCCCTTCAGTATGGCGTACACTATGTTAATTTATAAATATTGTTAAGGGTGAGTATGAAAGTTCCCTTTACAAGGTTCTATCGCTACGTCATCAGAGTTGTTGTCAGTAAGTAATATAAACCAGTTGTGTATGAAAATTTGTCGATTGCAGTTTCTGTTTTTACAACTTTTATGTAGACAAGTGCTTGGGTAAATTTAATTTTTTAAACATAATTTTTTTATCATATGAAGTGACGCGACGAATAGAAGAAACAAGTCGAGCATTTGGCGTTAAGCGACACGTCTGTCCATAGCAGTGTCACTCTGAGCTTTCTTTTTCTCTCTTTATTTTAAATGCAAAAGGGTTCTTTCACACAGTGAATATGCCACCCCTATCGCTCTGCGTTACATTGTTATCGTCTACTAATGCATTTGGCTACCAATTTATATAGCGCCTTAGCTACGTCCGATGTGGGTGAGGAAAGGATACCGTTAAAGATATCGACTCGTCCAAGAATAAGGAACCGCATAAAGAACTGGCACCTTTCTGCTTCGACCCGTACACTTTCCGACATCACATGGTATACATCCTCTACGCGGTCACACTCTTCGCGCTTAGGTGAATTAACTTTTCTCATTAAACAACTAAAACTATTTAGGGGAATATGCCCAGATCGAAGCCTGTGAGCCATAACAATGGACTCCCTACTTAGACCAGCACCCGTAAACCAGGGACCTTACCCTGTGGTAGGGTCCCTGGTTTGCGGGTGGTCTATACCAGGTTGTATTATTTTATACCAAATTCCTTTAATTAGTGATTAAATCCAACCTTTCTGCAAGGATCTCTTCTGCTACTAAATTAAAATTTAATAATTAAATTAAAACTGCGAAGCGACCAATCTTACCTTCATATTCCTAAAGCACTGGAACACAATAATAGCAGCCAACAAAGCAATCGCAGATATGGCGCAACCGATGAAGGTCAATAACCGCAGCGCCATTTCGTGCTTAGCACCCAAAGCCACGCCATGGACGTCCATCAGAACCGCGAAGTTCGTGAGGTGGGAGCATGCGCAGCCCGTATGAGTAAGATTAGACCACTCCACTTGACAGCCTTCGGAGGACCAGCCACTGTAAAGAAAGATTGATTAATTTATGTTAGGTAAATATATATATATATATATATTTTATATTATCAAGTGACGGGACGAACAAGTCGTGCGCCTGATGGTAAGCTACACGCCTGTCCATAACAGTTGCAGTGCCACTCAGAGCTTTAAGTCACAAAGATCTGAGGGGCACTGCCACTACGCCCGTCACCATGAGACATAAGTCACACATGAGTAATGCTAACATTACTGCTTGGCGGCAGAAATAGGTAAGTGGCAGTACTTCCCTGGACGAACACTTTCACAAGGAGCTCTACTGCTATTACTTCTACCGCTAATATTGATGATAAACACTACCAATGTATGGCATAGGCTACACTGTTTCTATTACCTATCACTACTTTCTATGTCTGCCTTCGGAACAAAAAAGGCGCAACTAACATTTTTATCAAAATTGAGTTATATACACGTTTGTGATCAGGAAAGAAAGGTCACTCTAAATTTGTTGTAGAAATCTATCTCAATAATTGACACGACTCATTGAAGAATGGCATAAGTGCAGTTACGTCAAAAACGTATAATGCTGTATTAGATACAGAAAAATATAACCCACATCCTCTCCAATTTATGGAACTCTATCGACTAATATTCTAGAATAGTCTCGGCATTTTAAATTTTCTACTTGTGCCTTTCTTTCTTCGGAGCGCAGTCCATGTGCTATACTTTATACATGGGCTTATGAATAAATGTCTTTATTATTGTTAATACTAGAAAAGTGAAAGTTTAGTTTAATTCAAAGAATTCCGATAAAATTGTATGAGCTACTCCAAATAAGGTATAGGAGATGTCTCCGTTTTAGTAAGTAAGTACTCTTTATCAATAGAGAAAAAATCATGACGGTAAATTACGTTACACTCTAAAACAACTTACTGCAAGGTGTAATCCCAGAAGACGCAGGCAGGGTTGGTAACGTTTTCAGTCTTCAAATGTTTCATAGTTAAGTGCACCATTTGGGAGAGTTGGATGTGACGCCCGTTGCCCAGACTTGCCGATATCACCTGGTAAGGATTTTTTATTTTAATTTTTGAAGTTTATGGAAATTATTGCTTTCATTGACGTAATTTTCCAAACGTTATATTGAAAGGATTGCTACTTAACAATACAGCGAAAATACAAAACACAACGTCTTGTATTTTGCTTGTTTATGAATTTTATTCAACTAATAATACTAAATAATACTTACTTTTGAGTTCAAAACCTTGGAAACATTCCTCTTTTCCCGATCAGAGTTCAGACTGGTAGGTGAAGAATCCGAAGAGAAGGCTGCGAACTGGGGGCTCTTGCCGAATGTGGGTGGGAGGATCTCTTCAAGGCGGTCGAACGCAAAGAACACTATGCGAACTAGGTCGTTTTGGCGATTGTCTGTATATAACAATATTAATTTTACGTTTAGTTTTTTTACTTCATTTAATTAACATCAAGTTAAAAAAGAAAATCAATAAAAAATCATCAACGTGTCAATGTTGCTAGATGGTTACATTTTTCGTAAGTTTTGAGGATTTTGAGACCTTTTAAATTCAACTATACTTGTTACTGTAAACCCAAAATAGTTTACGAACGCACCCAGATAAGACAATAAAGTAACTCAAAGATGCCGAAAACAAAATTAAATCAATCAATTAATGATTATAGCTTAATTATTCTCGAGAGTATTAACTTTTTTATTATTATATCTTTTACAGTTAAAATTTTTAATTAAAGAAAAAGAACTAGTTAAATGTAACTTTTCATGTAACGAAATGTAATTTGCGACTCAAAGGCCCTGGAAACACTGCAACGTTTATGCGCACTCATAGACACGGGTTTAGGACTTAGTCCACCATATTGGCCCAATGCGGGTTAGGTTGTCTGTATGTCTTTAAAATGGTTATACGAACCTTCTCGGACGTGCAAAACGTGGAAAAGTGATAGAGATCTGTGTGCATATAGAAGTTGCCCAAGCATCCTTTAAAACAACATGGAAAGTTTTAAGCAGCCGGCAGCTATTTATTAAAGTCCGCACTAGGCAAGAGCAGTGCTACATCTGGCCAGTCGTTCTTTATGAATGCGAATCATGGATCATAAAAGAAGACCTCAGGAAGAAACTTGAGGCGTTCGAAATGTGGTGTTATCGTAGAATGCTCCGCATCAGTTGGACGGACAAAGTCACGAATGTCGAGGTCCTTAAACGTATGGCGAAGAAGGTGGAGTTGGTACGCACTGTCAAGCAGCAGACGGTTGCCTATTTGGATCATGTACTGCGACATGCAGACATCACCTATTGCACACTATAACGATGGGCAAAGTAGCTGGGATGCCATGGCTTCGTAACATCAAGACCGTGGAACAACTGTTCAGGCTAGCTCTGGACAAAGAAAGATATAGAAGACTCAATGCCGACCTTCAATAATGGAGAGGCACTTGAAGAAGTAGAGAAGGACGTGCAGGGTTAATCACCGGGGGTTTCCTCCACCGTTAAAGCTAATTACTAAATAGACAATTCTGTTGGTGAGAGGTAATGAACCTTAAAGTATCAAGTATATGTTTTATTATTAAGTATCAAATATAATTTACACTAAAGGCGTTTTAAAGAGGCTTTTAATAATTAAAATCAATCTGAATAATATTTAGTTTATTGATTATTAAGATGTTTTACTAACATGATATTCAATATTTTTTTGTGAAACGACTCCACTACTTTGCTATAATTGATTAATACGAAGATCGAACACTAAGAAAAATATATTCGATTCGGTTGGGCCTGAACCAGCGCATTCACCATACATGGCTGACGCTCGCAAGTAATCTTTAGCAGACTTTACGAATTTTTTAGATCTTATCCTAATGACTTTTTTGTCTTAGCGCCATTTGTGAGAAATCTATGAAGTTTTTATTCACTCTATTATGACAAGTTAAACAAAAAACAAACGACTATAGAATTTAATGTCATTTATCACTGCGTGATTTTAACATTCTAAAGCAATATTTGTAAAAGCATCGAATTTTCAAAATATGGACTTCAGGTCCTTTACCTTTCACCTACAGAATGAAAGTATTGGAAGAGTTCTGTGGCACTGATCCATTTCGCACTAGAATAGTTACGCAAACTATGTAACATTTTCTTCTCATTTTAAATCACGGTACGAGTACTTACCAAGTAATGCAGCTTTAGGTATAGTGATTGTATCTTCTGAAGCCTTCCACTGTTCCTGCGCGATAGTTGAAGGAAAAGTTTCGTCTTCCACGTTCTTTACTTCCAGCACTCGCACTGACAGACCTGGACAAACGTAAAAATTGTAGAAATGTAATTAGATGCGCCGCGATTACTCTTCTTTTCTCTTTCCCTCTAAATGCATTGAAACACGTAAGAAAAATACAAAATAATCTCAAAATATGTGATTAATTGAATTTAAATAAGACCGAAGTATGGTAAATAATAAATAATAACGCTTTAAAAAAGTAGAATAGCGTATCGTGGAAATAGTAAAATAATAAAAAACGACATCGATACCTCGATTAAATCTCATAGCTTGTATACAGGCTGTTATACAGACCGACCGACAACATTTTTTTAGGGTTTTTGGGGGTCATTTTCTAGATTTCGGCCGTTGGCATCACGTCCTTAGTGTCACGGTAATAGAAATATGATTTATTGAATTGTTTTTATTAACGATTTTTTACTTGATAACATAAAATGTAAAATTGTTCTATGTGACATTTTTTACTTCCTAAATTCTGGTTAAATTCCAATTGTTGTAGTTTGTTTATGCTATTGTTTTAATTTAACTTTAATGCGTGCTATATCAAAAGTGAAATAAGCATTTTGTGAAATATTCGCATGTCAAGTTTTGATGAAATATACGATCTAATATCATATACTATAAGACCTGCATTGTTAACTCCATTTTTCAGCGAATAAATATCTTGTATTCTTACTCAATTACATGTAATCTCGCCTTCACATCGTAATAACTTTTTGTTTATAGTTATAATATCACAAAAAAGAATCTAGGCGGTGTGTTCCCTGTCTTAAGAAATACCTCAACTATTTTGCCAGTTGCTCAATGTAGTTGTGGGAGAAACTAAAGACCTTATATCCTCTCGTATATTGCATTTGGTCTTTTGGCAATCTGATTAAGTTATGTACATCGCATTCGTCCTTTCCCAATGTTTCCGTTCATATGCGACCAAATTTGGTTCGTTATCCGATCATCATTCATACTTTTTACGAAAAGAAAATTTAGTTCTTTTCAGGCATTAATCCATTCCATGTCACGCAAGACGCGCGAAACAAATTTAAAGGTAACCTATCACTAAGTCGATTTTTTTCCGAAATATCGTTTGTTCGAATTTTCATTACACCGAAAACCGAATTATAACAAAATCGTTGTTCTTTCAGGCTATGTTGGATGTTTATCGCAAAGACACGATTAGGTTCGGTTAGGTTAGGTTAAGTAAGGTTTAAAAAAACATTTTTCTCTCAAAATTACTTTCGAGGTTATGAAAATTCGAGCAAACGTTATTTCTGAAAAATGTTATTTCGATAGGTAACCAAATTTAAACTTTACTAAACAGGAATAACACTTACAAATATTCTTAACGATCTGCAAAATAGTCTTCTCCTTAGTAACGGCATCGGCTAATAAGAACGCGTTCTCTTCTAACTGCGTGAGCAGAGAACTGGCTACTCTATTCTGTGCTTCTGCACTGAGGTCAGCCCACGATGCTCGCTGGCTCTCTTCTAAAAGGTTTGATCCTGTAGGAGAAAAGAAACGGATATAGATTTCATAGGACGATTTTAAAAGTAATTACGTTTAAAATTACTACAATGTTTATTAATCAAAATACAACATAAAAGTTTTATACAATGTGCTTTTTAAACGGGAGCACAGAGGTTCAAAAAGCTACACATGTTGCCTTTGCCTTGCATGTACATTAAGGATATCTGCGTATTTGTCAACTCTCATTCTCAATACTTTAAATTTTGAATTTTTATTTTTAAATTTTTCCAAATTATGAACCAACCTAGTTGCCATTAATAATTCATAAGAATAACTGCTCCAGCATGTGTATAATTATTTTCAATAAACTTCTAAATGAAATTAAATTGTCGGAAAGCGACGATGAGGTCGACGACAGCATGTCTATGCATTCTCGCTTGCAAACAGGCCTAAGTTATAGCGTTCGGCGAACAAGTCTGCAGACAGGGAATTCTATTTCTTGCCGTTCCCCATATAAATGTGGAAGCGATACGTTTCGTGCGAATCGTTGGAATGTCCACAACCAGAGTTAGGCAAGCACCCAGGTTTTAATCGGGCGCTTTCTTAACGCCGTGTTCTAATCGGGTTTAAATCCAATAACGCACGAAATCGAGGGCAAAAACTGTTTAGAACTCGTTTAAAAATCGCATTGAAATGATCTTCTAAAAACTTGAATCGTAAAAAGCATCCTTATTAGTGAGCATGCACAGTATTGCAAGGTGGCCATTATGTGGAGTTGTTTCGTTTTCGTCTAAAAAAGTTTTTTTACATCTAAATTTGTAAGAAGTAATAAAAAAAAGAATATATAAGAAATATAAGAAAAATAAAAAATAAAAAATAAAAAATATAAGAATATATAAGAAATTCCGTATTCGCGGTTTCTTCCCACAATTTTGGACAGAAATGGGTTAAAACTCGGTACTTTTAACCCACTACCCATTTCTGTCCACAACACAAGCGTGGAACTCCAGTCCACGTCGAGTCCCACGAAGATAGAATGGGCGGATTTAAATAATGCAATTCCATCTCTTCGTGATATATCTTGTAGAATACTGATAAGCAAGCAACTTTACGGCAGCGCTCAAGGCTCTGCCTTTACTAAATCCGAGTCACCTATAAGCCTAAACCTTATTATAAGCCTAATCTTGACACGCTTTTCTAGTAAATCCAGTGTGGCCAGTTGGTATTTACCAGAACCGTCCTATTGAGTTATAAATAAAATATATCTTACCAGTTTTAATAACTCCCAACAGCATGTCGGTGACGATGGCTTCGCGTTGTTTGGGATCAGAGAAGGTTTGCACATTCTGCGACATTCGTAGCGCGAGCTTCTTCATTATGCTTGTTGTTGTCATCATATCTCCACCATAAAGGGTTTTTGAAGACGTTACCTAGGAATAGTATATTTAATTATTTATGGTGTATACAGCGTTATTTGTAACTTAGTTACTCACAATCTCGCAGGACTATATTACTAACATCATAAAGAACAATTTTTGTTCCTTGACTTTTAATAATGCATCAGATTTTACTTTCCCACAAAAATATTTAAATAATTCGCACTAAATGGTGATAACTCTGTGCGGTAGCAAATTATAGAACTAATAAGTGTTAGTACAACAAAAACTTAAAAGATATTAAACTGATGATTATTTATATTTTATTTTTTTATGTATATTTTTAATTTATCTAATTTTAAATGAAATAACTCTGGATGTATTTAGAATGTACTTAAAAATTTACTTTGCTGTGCCCTTACAGGGTTCACGTTTGATACTGTATGTACTAATTTACTGCCTATATTTAACACACGACAACATGCATGTATTTGAAATTTGATTGCACAGTCGTATTTGAGTGCACTCTTGCACTCTATGCTAGCTCCGCTTTATACCTCGGAGTTCAGATAGTCTTATCGTAAGCGGATAGAGGTGAATTTAAATCTTAAAGACGTGCCCGTTGTCCCTAAAAAGCTTATGATAAGTTTTTTGAAATTCCTGAAAATTTATTAACCGACCTCAAAAAAGGAAGAGGTTCTCAATTTGACTACATTTTTTTGTGTGCATGTTACGCGATTACCCTGACATCTGTGAACCGATTTCAACGACTCTTTTTTGTTAAAAAGTGGGTCCCTCAGTAGCGCTCCCATTAATTTATGTTGAAGAAAATATACTGCCTCTAAAAGAGGCAAATTAGGGATGAATTCGGTTTATTACATTTCACCCAGTTTCAGTGGAACAGATAGAATAACACGGCGAAAGCAAACTATTGAGGTGATTTTTTTTAATAAAAAAGTTTAATTAATTTCGTTCCAGATACAAGAACACGCGTATTTATATATATATAAAATCGATTTTCTGTTATTTTTAGTTCTTGCAAAGCTTTTCTTGGAATCACCACCTTCAAGATCAAGAATTAATAAATACCTGGGCCAAATCGTTGCTAATGCTGAGCAGGGACTCTCCCTCCCTGACTCTGGCTTCCAGGCTGTTGAGCCATACTGAACGACACTCGCTCAGGTCTGGTGTTGGTCCATGCCATTCTGGGATTGTGTCTGCTGTAACAGAAATTTATTGCTAAATTAAACAGATTCTTAACCGCACCGGTCCTGTGCTATCCGATAGGCAACAGCATTAAAATCAAAACAATACTTCAGCTATAAGAAAACACGGCTAGACCTTCGCTTGCTAATAACCCTAACATAGTCGTTCATTCGCATCTACTTTATTCAAGTACTCTTCACCTTTAAGGAAAAAAGTACTTACCATAATATTCATCTGTAGGATGCGGATTGGTAATGGAAGCCTGAGCATCAGGCAAACTTGGACTGCCTCGGTAGTCAATCATGTGTTCTGGAGCGTCTCCATCGCGACCTGATTACCAATAATGCTTCTTACAGCTTCGTTTTTTTCCATATGTATAGAAGCAAGGTAATAGTGAAGAAATGACGGTCAAAGGCAAAAGGATAATGTCCGATTCTACCCCAGTATGTCATTTAACTACATAGATGACCTAAGCTTCGTTGAAAAAATCTTGTTTTCTAATTCCAAATAAAAGTGCTTTTCACTTTTAGACACTTCTAGAAGTTGGGAATTGCACCTGTCAGACGTTTCTATTTTAGCAACAATGAAGAAGTTAAATCGAAAACAATTTTTAAGGCATTATAAAGCCGATCTTAAACAGACTAAGATCACTCAAATTTAGAGATGCATTTCAAGTAAGTGAATACGCCATTATAATGGCGATCTTTTTTCTTGTTTTTACGACGAACAAGTCGTGCGCCTGGTGTTAAGCGACACGCCTGTCCATAGCACTTGCAGTGTAGGTAATTTCCCCGGCACCCATTAAAACCAGAGCTTACTGGTTGGCGGCAGAAAAAGTTAAGGTAATTTAATACAATACTTCCCTGGACGAACTCTATCACAAGGAGCTCTACTGCTACTAAATACTTCCTTGACAATGAAGTTTAGTAAAATACTTTTTGAGACACCAGCAATATTGACTTCCTAAACCATTGACGTACCTTTCAGCAAGGCTTCAGAGCCAAGTCGTCTAATCAGCTGCATCTGCCGATTGTCAGGCTGGTCCAGTCCCAAGTCGTGATAGTTCTCTCCGGATTGCAGTCCTGGGTTTCTTCGTCGGGGACGATCTTCTTCTATGTGATGGTGTGGAGATATTGTGCATCTGGAAATTTCAAAAAATGTTGCTTGAAATGTTAATTTGTATGTAATATTAAGTTTATTGAATAACACGATGTTTTACTACGATGATTTTTAAATATTTTTTAACCGACTCCAGAGAAAGGAGGAGGTTCTCAATTCGACTGTTTTCTTGTATGTATGTTACGCTATAACTCCAACTAATTTGTAAACCGATTTTGATGATTAATTTTTTGTTGGAAAGAGGGTACCTCGGCAGTGGTTCCATTTAAATTTGAAGAAAATATTCCACCTCTAATAAGAGTGGCAAACTAGGGAATGAATCGGTTCGCGTACTTTCCGGTAACCGATTTCAATAAAACTTTTTTTTACAACATCAAGTGACGGGACGAACAAGTCGTGCGCCTGATATTAAGCTACATGCCTGTCCATAACAATTACAGTGTCACTCAGAGCTTTAAATTGCAAAGATCTGAGGGGCACTACCACTGCGCCCGTCACCCTGAGACATAAGTTGACAAGTCCCATGTGCCTGTAATTACCCTTCGAAACCGGAACACAGTAATGCTGACATTACTGCTTTGCGGCAGAAATAGGTAAGGTGGCAGTACTACCCTGGACGAACTCTTTCACAAGGACTTTCTACTGCTACTTGGCAAATAGATGTAATTCCACGAACTTTTGAGGTCGGTTTTTTTTTACTAAAGTTACAAGTAACGTTCCTATAAATGTCTACAAAGCGTAAGCGATGTACTTAGTATAAACAAATTTACTCACTTCCACCTAGCCAAACCAGTGGCACCTCCAGGACAAGGTTGGACAGCATAAGTACCAGCCATCGTCCAGTTCCAATGCAGACCTCGGGCGTTCACTTGAGGACAGTACGATCTTCTGCCGAGGATCAGCGTCCGGGTGGTTGCTGAATAACAAAAAAAATCCAGTTATATATATTTTTATTTTTTATTTTTATAATATCGAGTGACATATCACAGGGACAGACTGGTCCCTGGTGATAAGAAGGTATATAGTAAGCTGACCGAGAGTACCGTTTGGTCCAAAATTTTCAAAATATTTATTTATAATTTTGAAAGAAAATTAATTATTGTTTTTAAATAGATAATGTCAACGTTTGGGTGTCTTATTAATATAAATGCTCGTAAATTATAGAAATAGCTACCATTCACAGAAAAACGTTACCTCTGTCGAGTAGAGATTAAAGTATTTGTGAATTTTAATTGTTTTCTTAACGCGAATTCTCTGAAGCAATTAGTAAGGATTTTCTTTGCTTAATGAAGCAAATTTGAATTTGTTTTTATTTTAAAATTTAATTTCGTGTTTAAAGTTCCGCAAAGATACAGATTCAAGTCGTTCTTGTTCTTACATAACGCGTGTAAAGAGATGCCCGGTTCGAATCCCTGCAGCTTGAACCTATAAATTGAATTCCAAGTTCTCTTGCTAACGGTAAAGAAAAGCATCGAGGACAACCTGCACGACGAAAAAGGCCTACAACCTTATAAAAACGTGTAGGTCCATTATGGCGTAAAAACCCTATGCTTAGGAGACCCATGCCCAGCAGTGGAAAGTATAATGAATAAATAAATATGAAGATGATCTCTAACATGGTGTTCCCAGTCAAGACAAAACTAGCACGTCAAGAGACGGTTCTCAAAACGCTTATGTCCATCATTATACCATACTTTTTGCATCCTACAGCTCGTTGTCATCTTCTCCACAGCTACATGCATGGTTTGTTCATTGCTACCTCGGCTTGTGACAATAGGGTCCTTGGCCCATTTGTAGGCAGCAATGGTTAAGTAAATTAAAAATCAACTTATAAATACTTAAGAGCTTAATATTAATGAAACGTGTTAGACTTTTTTTTTTTTTATAACGCACACACTCAACAGCCCCGCACTAGGGAAACCCTGTGTCGCGGGTGCCATGGACACACACATAGACAACCACAAATTACACCCAAACTCACGAGAGATATAATTGTAGGCCATACAAGTATTTCTCTCGGCCCGGGAATCGAACCTGGGACCTCTGCGTGGCAGTCCGGCATGGTAACCGTTCGGCCACGGAGGCAGTTTTACAATTAGTTTTAAGTTTGTAATCTCACTATTATCTTTTTTTAACACTCATGCAAATGTTTACATTTCGCATAATAAAGCTGTACGTATAAGTATTAGGTCTACATTCTAGATTAAGAGGACACTACCTCAGGTCGAATAAAAATTTTTCCCCTACTAAGACGGTGACGGTCAAAGACACTGGCTTTATTTCGGAATTTATTTTTTTACAAACGAAATTAAAACCATTTGAAAAATGTATATCGAATACACGTGTTCTATTTAGTTCAGTTGATACAAAAAAAAACATTGGTATATGTAAATTACCTATATTGAATACAGCGGTTTTCTTGTAAAATTTCGAGTTAAGTTTGTTTTCTTTCTATCGTGAAAATTTATAGGCATAATGTTATCAGCCCATATATTAATCAGTGTGTATCCTCAATTTTACTATACACTTTTTTCCTGACTGATTCAACGCTTGTACTGTCATGCGTAATCATCCAAACCCGTTTGAGGTTGTATAGACTCTTAAGTCCTTAAATTCCAACATGTTTCACTGAATGAAGACTATTTGACATTTAATAATAATAAAAAATAAAATACTCACAATAAGTCTGATCAAATTCATCTTCAAGATCCTTCTCTGGAGATTGGTTGACCTTCGGAGGAAGGTGGACTGATGATGTGGAATCCGAGTCAGCGTCTTTCACAGGCCAGTGGAGAGTTTCTTCTGTTATTGCCACTGTAAATACCAGACAATCATACTAACCTGTGCCTCTACGACGAGTGTATTGTGACAGTTGTCGCTAGCGACCGTGTAAAATGTTTGTATACAAAATGTTGTTTCTTCTTGTGATCTCTATTAGCGCTCTATAATTCGCCATATAAAATTGTGAAATAATTTACGCGGTCGATAGCAACACCTGTCACAGTAAACTCGTGGTAGAGGCACTGATTGCAAACTTAAAAAAAAATAGTAGTATAAGTTTCAAAGTAACAAAGTTTTCTTTGAGACTCAAATTGTTTTCTAAATTGGCTTCACTGAGAACGGAATTGATATCTCCTACGTCACATCTTAAGTGCTTAACTCCTAAGTTAAAGAAAGTTATCAAGACCTCGAGTTTTAGTTAAATGATGGTCTTTTAAGAACTAATTTTATTCGTTTCGTGAATCACTGAATTGGCACCAACATAATAGAAATCTAGCTTTCGTAGATTTTCGCGATGGCAACATTGAATTTAAAACTATTTTTCGTATTTTCAAACAAACCAAAACAGCCGCAACTATGGGACCTTTGAAGAGCTCGAAACGCTGGTTTGCTTGAAAAAACAATTATGCACAATTTATAATAATAATTATTAGTCTTATGATATGGTCCCACTTCTGGGCACAAGCCTCCGCTCACAATGAGAGAACTTGGGCTGTAGTTCCCACGCGAGGCAATGCAGATTCATAATACATATTATTAAATTGCTTTGCAGTAACTTTCAAATTAAATTTCGCACAAGAATTCCGAAAAACTAAGAGATTTCCGAAAAAATCAGAGGGTCAGGGGGGATCGAGGGTAGGGTTCGAATCCGTGCTTGCAAGCACGGATTCGAACCCGCGACCCTCTGCTGGAGAGGCGGTAGGTCAACTACCACTACTGGCTGCCACGGCTTATTTTTAGGCGCAATTTAGATAAAAAAAAATAGATTCAACTCCAACAAAGTTAGCTTACTGCCAAAAGTATGGACGTCAAAGTGAACTTAATTTTAGTTCGTGTCTTTTTTGTTACTAGAAAAAAATTTAACCAAAGATTTTACTTTAGTTTAAAGCACCAAATTGCCTTCTCATACAAATGCAAGACATTTAAAATTATGGAGTAGTCTATGTCAACAATTAAATATTTTTCTTTTTACCTTTTCCTACCAATAACGAAACAAAAACGTCAATAGTTTTGTTATATTATAATTATTAATACAAAGAAAAAAACTTAGAAAAAAAAATTATTACAGTTAATAGCGACATCTCTAGCCAGGGCTGGTAGCTGTGAAATTATCTAACTGGGTGATGAAATACTTTCACAGACTTGTCATAAATGGCGCTACGTTTTAGCCGTAGCGCCATTTATGACAAGCTGTTGAAAACAAAATACAAAGATCCGACAACAAGCACAGAAAAAAATCGTGAGGTCCGCTCATTCTGTGGCTTAGTCTGGCACTTAATCCGGCCAGATCGAAGGAATTTTTTCTAAGTGTTTGATCTTTGTATTAACAATTATAACAAACTAGCGGAGTAATTTCACAAAAAATAATTGAATGTCAATTCAATACAAATTTAGCGGGAATAGTTTCAACTATTTTACAAGAAGTTATTTGATTCTTACCAGTTTCCTCCTCTCGATCCTTGGGCTTATCATTTCTGGTGCTGTCAGGGTCTACCTTGGGTATCTCTTCCTTCACCACAGGCACGTTATCTCTTGGTACTAACGCTGGGTCCCGTTCTGATGAAGAATCCGGTTGCTTGGTCGTGGTCTTCTGGAACAAATTGGGTTTTAATATATCTTTCTTGTAACTCATAAACTAAAACTAAGAGATAATATATGCTTGTTTATCATAATAATAATAATAATAATATTTATTGTTACAAAATAGTTACAACACAATAGTGAAGTCCCTGACACCTGAGCTAGGTATAACCTGTGTTACAGGAGTCAGTGTCCTCTCTCAAACATTTGACCTTACATTAGCTATTTCTTAACAATTTTAATAGGTACATTATGAAATAAATTACATATTATATGTTTTACTAAGTGTGTGTGTGTGTGTGTGTGTGTGTGTGTGTGTGTGTGTGTGGCTATAAGGCTTCAGTTTTATGGTAATCTAAGGTTAATAACCAGTTCTTAGTTTTAAGTTTAGCTTCACGAGCAGCTAACGGATATATGTTTAAAGTTTTATTAATTTTATTATACAGATACGGAGCCATAAATAGTAACTGACGTCTTGCCCAAGCTGTGCGACATTTAATGGAAAAACACACATTAGTGCGGGTGCGCTTTTTGACGTAATTGTCTTTGCAGTATGGAGTGTTTCTGTGCTGCTTGATTACTAGTTGCAAAACGTACAACTGTCTAATAGTCAATACTTGGCATTTGTCATACAACGATGTAGTAGGAAATCTGTACGGACTAAAAGTCATAACTTTAAGTATGCCTCCGTGGCCGAACGGTTACCATGCCGGACTGCCACGCAGAGGTCCCAGGTTCGATTCCCGGGCCGGGAGAAATGTTTGTATGGCCTACATTTATTTCTCTCGTGAGTTTGGGTGTAATTTGTGGTTGTCTATATGTGTGTCCATGGCACCCGCGACACAGGGTTTCCCTAGTGCGGGGCTATGTTGAGTGTGTGCGTTATTTATTTATTTATTTATTTAGTATGGATCTTTGTGCTCTTTCTAAAGTCAATAAGTGAGTCTTACAGGCACCACCCCAGACTCCAACACAGTAACTCATCACCGACTGCGCAAGGGCGTAGTATATTGTACGCAGTAGCTCAAGATTAGCCACATATCTCAGTTTTTTGAAAACGTATATTAGTTTTCTACAGCGTGACGTCGTGAGGTCTATGTGTGCACGCCAACTGAGTCTATCGTCAAGCATCACTCCTAAATATTTTACATTGGTAGATTTGGCAACAGTAAGACAGGAACAGTCAGAATTGCGAGGAGAATAGCATGAGTGGAGTTTGATTTGAACATTTTCCTGTTTATTGTTCGGCAGGGTAAATTGGACAAGAGTAGATTTAGATAGATTTAAAGTCAGTAGGTTTTCTCGCAGCCAGCAGCTTACTTTATGTAAACCGCGTTCAGCAGTATCGCAAACCTCTTCCCAGGTTGCTCCAGTGAAAACCAAGGCTGTGTCATCGGCATAAGTAAATATTTTGCTATTTTGTAACGATATTTGACACAAGTCATTTATATATATTAAGAAGAGACTTGGTCCGAGGATGCTTCCTTGCGGGACTCCATATAGGACCGGACATTCTGCACTTACTATCTCTCCAATTTTAACTTGTTGAGTACGATGGCATAGGAAGTCCTCCATTATTTTGAGGGCATTACCTCGGACACCGGCACGATTTAGCTTATTCACAAGTACGGGAATCGAGACAGTATCGAAAGCTTTTGCTAGGTCGAGAAAAATTCCTATGCATTTCTGTTTAGCGTCACTTTCTGAGGTTACATAATCTACTAGTTGGCTAACCGCATCTTCGGCGCTTATATTAGTCCTAAATCCATATTGCGATTTTGATAGTATCTTATTATGTTCCAAAAAGTTCATAAGGCGGTTGTTAAGTGCCTTTTCAAGCACCTTAGAAAGTGAGCTGAGTATCGATATCGGCCTATATATGGAGATACTGTCTCGAGGCCCACACTTGTGGATTGGGGTGATGAGCGACTTCTTAAAAGCCTGTGGGAAAACTCCCTGGCATAGGCAAAGTTCAATAATTTTGGTAAGGGGGGAACTATTATATTTTTTGAAAGTTTTAAAAATTTTACTGGTATGGAGTCCCACCCAACGGCACAGTTATTTTTAAGGTTAATTATTATTGATTCAATCTCGGCTTCGTCTGGTGGTAGTAGCACAATAGAATTTACTACTGGAGGTATATCTAAACTATATTCACTTTTGTTATTACAATTTGAAGAAATTATCATATCAACTAGCTCCTTACCTATATTAGAAAAATATCTATTAATGTCCTGAATATTTTTACCATTATCTGAACGTAATAAATCATGTGCAGAGGTTTTCGATTTCGATATATCAAGTATCGATTTGATTGCATTCCAGGTGTCCTTATTTGAGTTCGACGATTGTAATAAAGACTTTTCATAATTTCTCTTTAGCTTTCGCAACAAGAAATTGCAAAAGTTACGGTATCGCCTATAAGTAATTTGAAGAATTTCATTATTTGGGTCTTTTTTAAAATTTCTATGAAGCCTATCCCTATGACGAATGCAGCGAAGTAGACCAGACGTTAACCAGGGTTTCAGAATTTTCCTCCTGTTAGGTACTTTGTATGACTTGGTATTAGACATTATTGCAAACGATAGTTTCTCAACAAAAAGTGAAGCGATTACGTTGGCGTCAGAGGTAGGCGTTATAAAAGAAAAGTCAACCGATTGGAGGTATCTAACAGCCGCATTGAAATCAGTTTTTTTGACATAGTTTACTAAACCTTGTTTAAATTTGATCAGAGGAAGATTTAGCAACACTAGAGCGTGGTCTGTTACTGTGGAGTCAATTACAAATACGGATGCAGGGAAAGCCGTCTTTAACATCACATGATCCAAACAGTTTAGCAACCTGGTAGGATATTGATGACCCGGTAACATTCCTAGTTCAGCAGATAGATTATCAATATTCTACAGGACATATCACTGAGAGTGTGCGATGGAATTGCAAGATTTAATTGCACCTTCCCTTTTTCTGTCATCGGGGACTAGATGTAGGCTCGGGGTCCACCCCTATGATGTGGATATTGTAAAGATTCGCAAGAAGCGTTAGGCTTCCACATTTATATGGCGAACGGCTATGAAATAGAATTCCTTGTCTCCAGACTATTCCCTGAACGCTATAACTTGGGCATTTTTAATGCGAGAGTGAATAGACATTATTTAGATGTTCATGCTCCATTGTCGCCCTAACCGTCACTTTACAACAAGGGAGACGCAGATCAAATGCGCTCTTAATTGTTTTTAGTACCGAGAATAAACATGTGGAAAGCGTTAATTAAAAATGTAGGGAAACCTTCCAGAGCAGACCTTTAGAAATGAAGTACGTAGAAGAAGCAGAAGATCCTGGCTTACTTTCACATGCCTTTATAATAATAATAATGTATATATATAATTTATGTATATATTGAATTCGTTTGGCGTTGAAATAAATACTAAAAATATGTTATTTCGAAAGTCAGTATGTTTCACTTACTGAAATTCAGGAAAGTGTTTAAAAAATATATAAGATTTTAAATTTCACTCTTGACTTCAGTCTGACTTTCAAGTTTCAAGGATATTGTCCTTAATAAATATTTTGATGATTATATTTAATTTGATTATTTTTACCCTAAAGCAATCAAATTTTGTTTATTTCGATTTATTTTTACGATTAACTTGTAACAACTACAATCGTTTCAAAAATAAATGACTAAGCAATATCTGCTTAATCTACATATTTTTTTTCGACCTGCAATACAATTCGGCTTATTTTGTTTTTTACATCACTGCAATTAGAAGTAATTTTCGCTCAACGAAGACACGCTGCGCGAGTCCGACTGTTGCTTCACCTGTTCTCTATGGCGCCATGCCAGTCGCCTCAAGTTATGAATAGTTAGTTTTAAATAACAATTCATTGATGTTCATTGTATAATCAATATTATTCAAATTAGGATTTACTCTGACTTACTTTTTCAAATTTTATTAGATCGTTTAACTTATTACATTTTTTCTATCGTGTCCGCATTTGCATGCCGTGGCGACCATTAATTAAAGCAGAATATAGTATAAATTTCTGTGTCCCAGTTTCTACCTTGTTATGTACTTAATTTATATCTTGTTTATTGTCCAAACAAAAAAATAAAAAATTTAATTCTTGCTTACCTTACTGCCAACATCACCCAACTTCACCTCAGGTGGCAAGGTAATATGTGGTCTGAAAGTAGGCGGTGTAATCACTGTAGGTTTCTTCCGTTCTCCCTGCTGAGTTTGGATAGGATTTTTAGGCACAGGGGGGACTGTGGACCGCCAGACCGTGGGCTGAGATGTAATTAACCAAGGTGGGGACGGCCGGTTTGTAGTACTTGTAGTTGATGCTGTAAAAAAGAAAAAAATATAAATAAAATCTATTGTTTCATATATATTAAAAAATTAAAAGTAATAAATTCAAATCAATCAGAATAACACATAAATTAAAAACTAAAAATAAATAACATAAAATTGTAAACAATATAAATAAATTAAAGGAAAAAAAAACAAATCTTTTTAGTCATTGAATTAAAATTTGACAAAACTACATTAAATATAAAATTTAAAAAACTGATCATCAAAAAATAAATAACATTAAATTTAGCATGCAAAATAATAAATTCAATTTAAATAGTTAAATACATGGGCAAGATCATTACGAAAGTTAAAGTTAACTAATAAAGAAGAAGCTTTGAACCGTGAGGAGTGGAGGAGGCTACACCGACAAAAGCCTAGCTCTTAAATCTCAGTGGCCGTTACGTTATGGACTCTGGATGCGGAGATCTCGGGTCCTATTTCCAATTTGGGAAATAAACTTTTCTAAGTATCGCAGAGTGAATTCTGTTGCCCTGGTATTCGCAGTACAGAGAAATCCCGTTTGAGAGCTGTGGTTGTCTAGCACATATTATATTATTAAATAAGATGATGAGCCCAGTCGATTCTGGAAGCAATATTTAAAACATCGACCACTGCACGAATTGTTACCTTAATTGTTTCCAATGGAAAATTCCGGAAATAGAATGTAATTACAGAGTGCTTAACCGGAAAGAAAGTCAAATGCGTTTTCAAAAATTGAATTCACAAAATAAAATCCAATTTGCAATTTTTGCGCTCTCCGGTTGTCTACTGTTTCTTCTGAATTCGCGCTTTTGGTTCTTTTTTCACACATTCTATGCAGCCAGGTCGATTTTTATTTCGTATCGTACCAATCGAAATTAAGGGGAAATTACGGCCCTAGATCTACATATAAGTTTTTGGATAATTTTCGGGTTATCTTTCTGTACCTAATTTCGGTGGCGATTTTTGTTATTTAAGTACCGAGCATATTAGCGTGAAATATTAAATAATATTTCAGGTTACTACACTCGAATATCAAATAATACTTCATGATATAATTCTAGAACATATCATTTATGTAAAGTACACTACAAATATACATTTTTTTTCCTTGTGATTTCTTATGTTAAGTTAATATTTAAAAAAATACGTGTTCTCAATTCTTTTTTGTGGTGGTGGGCGTTGAAATTTTTTATTTGGTTTACTTAAGCCAAATTCTTGGTTCACGGCCCACTTGGGCAGTGAGCCAAAGTTTGGGAATCTGTGTTCTAGAATATTTAAATTATAGATATTGCCACCGAAATTAGATAGAGAAAATTAACCTGAAAATCCTATTTCTCCAATGAATTTGTCAAACTTTACTATTTAATTTTGTAAAAATACTAATATTGTAGATTTTATCACGTGGAAGTTTAAGAATGCCGTACATTTAAGTTTAGAACGTCACAGATTTTTGCTCTTTTAGTTTTTCATATAAATAATAAAACAAAAAACATATTTATAGAGCTTATAATACGTGCTATTTTTAAAAAACAAAATACAAACTGGGTAAGATTAGTACTTTATTATACCATTAATGTAACAAATCATTATCATCATGGACCCATTAATACATTCCACTGATGGGTGCTGGTCTCCTCTCAGGCGAGGGTTTTGCTATTGTCCGCCACGTAGGCCCTGCTGCTAACATTGATTAACTGCAAACATACTATTACAGTCAATCTGTTACCAGGCTAGTTGCAGCCACGAACTCGACAGGTTTTGTGTTGTTAATTTGATATGTGTACGTACAAACAAGTAATTAATGAATAAATGATAAAGCGTCCGAAACGTTGGTTTGTTTGAAAAAAAAATATACGCGATTTAAAGCCGGAAAAATAGTTTCATTTCCTAAATAAATAATAATTTAATTTCTTTTGAATAAATAAAAAAAATTTGTACTCACCAGGGACACACTGATAATGTGCTTCCAAATATTTGAGCGTATTCGGACAAGGATCGCCGCTGAATATACTCGTACTAGCCTGTATACTGCAGTTCTGGTGCATGCTACATCTGAAAAAAGAAATAAAAAAGGAATTAAGTCAAGGAAAAGTGTTTATAACAAAAATGTGGCAGTGTATACAAAATGTCTTCGCCTGTTCAAATTAGATGCAGAAACATTTTATTTAAAATTTGGATTTCGTTTTAAATCGAAGTATGGGAATATGTGCAAAGACTTTCAAAATGGCCGCCGTAAAGAAAAAATATTTCCCGCGACAAAATGTCAGACAAACTATTGAAAAAAAAAAAGACAATATACGATCCAGCTGTTTGGCCTTTTAGACGCCTGAGCCTGTCCCGAAGGATGAAAAATTTTAATACTATTAAAGCGAAGTGTGTAAAACGTACTGTAGGTGAAAACATAACTAAAAAGGACTAGTTTTATAGATATACTTTTATGGCATAACATCGCCTTGTGATTTCTATGTAATTTGCAAGGACGAAGCGAAATTGTGGTGTAAAAAATAGTAAACATAATTACGTTTGTATGGTATATTACTTTAATAATATATTTCACGAAAAGCTTTATAGGGTAAACATAAACTATGTAATATAGCTGATGGATGGTTGGGGAAAAACTTTCATAGTTTTCTCATAGGCGCTACGGTAAAAATGTCGTTAAAAACCAAAAACAAAAATCTGCAACAAGCACGTAGAAAAATTCGTAAGGTCTCCTGGTTCGTTCCGTAACTCAGTTGGGAGAGCATCAGGCACGGCATACTAAAGGCGATGATTCGAATCCAGACGGATCGAAGGAATCGTTCTTAGTGTTCGACATTTGTATTAATAATTATTCAATAATGCTTAAGAGATTTTCACTCTAAAGCGACGATAATTTAATTCTGTACCAGAGGAATCGAGGTTCTTAGTGTAAATAAAAGTACTTAAAACTACTACACGTAACTTTCAAGTTCGGCAAACTGTAAACAAGCAGTGTAATTATAAATCGTTGGAAACTCCCGGAAAGTTGGGTAAATGGGCGAAAATTTGGGAAAATTAAATATCGAGCGAGTTGATCGCGTTAGCCCGGGAGATTGCCAATAACTGGGGCTAACTCACGCAAATGAACCCCGAAATGGTGTTACACATGATAAAATGTTATGTACGTATGTAGAAATTTATTATGATTATGTTCTTAGGCGATCTATTACAATAATTTTAATACAGGGAAATCAGTTTTTATAACACCACTGAAATTAGAAATCATTTGGGACCTGACAAGTAAGTACCATTTCATTATTTTATGGCGGGCTGTGATCATCTGTGCTTTAATGCTTATAAGCTTATAAAGCTTATAAGTTGTTACTCATGCTACAACCCCTTTTTTTCTATATCTATGGCTACAAGAAATCTGAGACCTAACTAATTTAAAAATCTGTTTAATAGTAAAAAGCGAAATGTAGTAAAAGGTTTTCAAAAACGCGAGTAAACTGGGCTCTCAAAGGCTGGTGTCTCTTGGGCACTTATAAAAAGTATATGAGTTTTGTAATATTGCTATGCTTTCTATATTTATTAACTCTACTATCTCGACTGAAAGACATGGATCCAAAGTCATTAAATTAATTTATTTAAAAAATGTTCTGGTATTTTAAATGTTCATGGGCGACGAGGATCACCTCTCATCAAGTAGCTATTCTGCTCGTCCCATAACATATTAAAAAAACATGGTGAAATTACAAGCCTATAGGTCTTATCAACTTATAGGCGCAGTGGCAGTGCGCCTCAGATCTTTGCAATTTAAAGCTCTGAGTTGCATTGCAACTGTTACGGACTGGCGTGTAGCTTACCAACAGGCGCACGACTTGTTCGTAGAGTCACTTGATATTGTAAAAAAAAAACAATTATCTATGTTTCAAGTTTTCTATTTATGTCGAAAATTTGTAGGTATTGCTCTACAGAAGACATAAAGAACAGAAACATTTATTTATATTTACCATGCCCTATACAATTATATAGTAGCATCCCTTAATGACATAAGAAATAAACTACATAAGAACAGGCGCTTGTTGCCTTTTTCATTAAAACGAGGAAAAATTCTAATACATATATAAAGAGATTGTATGGTGGAACCTTTGCTTACTTAAATAAATGGGTGAAAATGTATAAAAAGACATCTGTGTCTTGTTATACATGTGTATAACAAGACACAGAAGAGAAAAAAAAATCAAAACTCGACATTTCAACCCATCGAGTATATTTAGACTCAATGTTTCAACCTGAACACCACGCTCTTTCAAGTAAAAAGTTTCCATTATCTAGATCCTTAGCTTTTTTTCCAACCTCTAAGTCTAGATCCATGATAGAACTATAGTGATTTGTTCATGGCACTAGTTTTATTCTTACAAGTTAATAGCAATGGATGGAGGGAAAAAGCGTTGTAGTTCCGACATGGAATTAACGAACCAAATACCCGCCTACTTGAATTCTTACGCCTTAAATATAATTAATTAATTCAAAATTATTGTTCGTAAGTCTATTTAACATAAATGGGCAATAATATATCTTTCAAATTACTTTTATATGCTATTAATTAAAGATCATTCAACTATGAGATATTATCATTGTTTTAAGAAACCAGTTTTCGCTAGCGGCTTCATTTAAAGCGAAAGTTAAGTTAAAACCGGAATGAAGGGAAACTAGGAAAGGTTGGCCTCGGTGTAAGAAGTACCAAAAAAATGCTGACAAGAGTGGAGGAAGAAATACGTCATGAGCGTAGCGGATGGAGATTCATTGTCTGTGCCTACTACAGTGCAGACATAATAGAATATCATTTGTTGTTATAATTGATATAAGATCGAACAAACTCAAAGAAAACCTCCTTCAATCCGGCAGGAATCAAACCAGCAACATTTTCATATATCGCGCTAACTAATCTAAAACGAACTCATCAATCAACGTTAAAGTTCGATATCCTGCAGGAATAATTTGGGAAGATGAAGTTTTTCTAAACTGGGTCAGGAGGTGTTCTGAGAAGTGCCCCATAGAGAATTCCATTGCTCTAGCACTCTAGTACAGGGTTCCCTAATTTGAGACCAGGCAATCCGTGGGGGTTGTCTGGCACACTATTTACGAATATATTTTAGTCCTACATACATGTATATCATCACGCTTATCTCCCGCCGGGGTAGGCAGAGACTATAGACCTCCACCTGCTATACTCCTGACTAACTTCCTCCACTCCCATCAGTCACTTGAAATGTACCCGTTTATTCTTTGTAATATTAACTCGGCGTCTTTTAAGGACATCCCCAATCTAATTGAGATGTGTACGCTGAGGTCTACCTCTCCCCACGTCTCAATTATCACCATAAATTTGAACCGTCAATCTACTAACATTCACTCTTTCTACATGACCAAACCATCGAAGTATCCTCCTCTCTATCTTGAACATGGTCATCATCATCTTTCATCACAACACTCTTTTACGATACTGTTCGGCATTCTGTCTTTAAAACTAATAACGCTCACTGTCATGCTTTTTCTGCCACATACAACACTCACTGCGATACATTAGGGTTAGGACCAGCACGCCTCGATGAATAACCAAACGCGCCTGTCTTGAAACATTCTGGCTACATGTAAAGGGCATAAAAAGCTCCATTCACACGATTTTTAGCTTGCACTCTCCATTAATTATCACTTTCACATTTACCATCTCTTGTCAACAGATTACGAAGATACATAATATGACATTTTAGTCTCTCAGTGCGACAGCTTTCAGCGATTGACTTTTAACATATTAAAAGACGATATGGTTCCATTCACAACTAAGAATCGCACAGCGTTTTACTAATACGTGCTACTTTCATTCCATTACTCTTTACGATATAGAAGCTACTTAACCCAGCTCTCCAAGTTTCCAGGTTGAAATGCTCGGCATAAAAGAAACACTAGACTACCGTCGTATCGTTTGATGAATTCTCAACATCAAAAGCTAACAATAAAACGCGCTGTTAACACAATAGAAAGCGTATTTTTTCAGAATCGATGAAAAGCAATTTTTTTTTATATTACCATGTGATAGGACGGACAAGTCGTGCGGTTGGTGGTAAGCAACACGCCTACCCATGACAGTTGCAGTGCCACTCAGAGCTTGAAATCGCAAAGATCTTAGGATCACCTCCACTGCGCCCAACATAATTTCGACAAGTTGCAGGTGAAATTATTGGTATATGGGATACCAATAATTTCACCTGCACCCTTACCCTTTCAAACCGGAACGCAGTAATGGTCACATTATTATTTGGCGCCAGAAATAGTAATCGAAATACTTCCCTGGACGAGCTAACTCTTTCATAGGGAGCTGTACTGCTACTAATAAAAATTGCTGACTTCCCGTGAAATATAATTAAAGTTTACGTATAGGTTACAATTTATTACAGACATGTAAACAATTTCCTACTTGCCAAATATATTTAAAAATAAAAGGGAAAAATAATTTCATATTTTTAAGTACGAAATGAATGGCGAAGAAGGTGGAGTTAGTACGCACTGTCAAGCAGCGGAAGGTTGCATGTACTGCGACATGACAGATATCATCTATTGCATACCATAATGACGGGCAAAGTGGCTGGGAAGCGAAAGGCTGGAAGAAGGAAAATGTCATGGCTTCGTACATCAGGGAGTGGACCGGCATCAAGACCGTGGAACAACTGTTCAGGCTAGCTCTGGACAAAGAAAGACATAGATAACTGCCGACCTTCAATAATGGAGAGGGCACTTGAACAAGAACAGGAGTAAAAAATGTTTTCACCAAAACTAGCTTACAAAAAGTTTATCACATGTTCAGTTAGTAGATATCGTTAAATTATTTGTTACAATATTCTAACGAAGGTTTTATTGACAAGTAGAGAATAAAATTTTACGTGTAGCAATGATCATATCGCACTGCTCTTACAATAGCGTCGTAACTCAAAATATGTGAAATTCTAGATTATACTGTTGCTGAATGTAAAATTTTAATCTCTATGCGTCAATATAACCGTCTTTAAAATATCACGAAAAACAAATGAAAGATGTCTACTTAAATCAAAATGAGACAAACTTTTTGTGGCTAGTTCTAGTGAAAACAGTCCTTACTTAGAAATATAAAATGCTTTTCTCCCCATTATTTTTCTACCAAAAATAGGATTTTGTTTAGATGTTTGTAATAAACTTTAATCTGTTCATAAATTTTAATAATATTTTCACGAGAAGTGAGTAATTCGTTCTTTATCGATTCTGACAAAATACACTTTTTGAGTTAATACACTATTAAATTAACAGTGCGATACATCATAATCTAGAATGTCACATATTTTGAGTTACAACACTATTGTAATAGCAGAGCGACATAATGTACGTTAATTAGCGAGCGCTGTGAATTCAATTTAAATTTCATAAATCACAAAAAATTAAATCAGTTAATCTTTACGCATTTGTCTTTAACAACATTAAAACAGTTATTTTATAATTATGATCAATTAATTATATCAATCTAAACACCTTATCTTTAAACGAAGCATCATTAACAGATATTTAGAACGATAAGATTGATTTCAAGAAATATTCAAATTAAATATTGAATAATTACAGTTGTTTCAAAGAAGTTTATTAATTATAATTAAAAGTAATATGATAGCCAACTAATTGGATTAATAAAAACTTGTTTTATGTTGCGTAGTTTTCTTTATTTGTGTAAAGTTTTTGAACTTACACAAAGATAATAAATAGATAATTTAATCATTTACTTCATTGAGCACGTTAACAAGGTAGAAAACAGCAACACGCGTTATATATTTAACTTTTTAAACATAATACTGGCTGTGTCAATTTTATTGAATATCATGATGTTGTAGTAGCAGCAGAGCTCGTTATGAAAGAGTTCGTAAAGGGAAGTACTGCTACTTTACCTATTTCTACCACCAAGAAGTAATATGATTATTACTGCATTCCGGTTTGGAAGGGTAAAGATGTTGGTGAAATTACTAACTCCCGTATACTTGTCATCTTATGTCTCAGGGTGAAGGGCACAGAGCAGTGCCCCTAAGATCTTTACGATTAAAAGCTCTAAGTGGCGCTGAAACTGTTATGGATAGGCGTGTCGCTTACCACCAGGTGCACGCACAACGCGCACAAAAAAAGTTTTGACTACCATAGAGAACCTATAACTATATTTCGACATATGATATGGCATACATTCGCAAATTTCGTAAAATATAATCTCGTAATTTCTATATACTTTGACATCAATTAATAGAATTTTGTAAATTTTTGTTGAAACACGTATACTCTCTCTCTCTCTCTTTCGTCGGTCCCTCACCGTTGAAGATTCTGACGGGACGAACAAGTCGTAAGGTTGATGGTAAGCGGCAAGCCTGTTCATAACCGTTGCAGTGCCACTCAGAGCTTTAAAACGCAAAAATATGAGGGGCGCTGCCACCACGCCTTTCACCCTGAGACACAAGTCGACAAGTGCCTGTAATTTCACAAGCACCCTTACTCTTTAAAACCGAAACGCAATAATGCTCACATTACTGCTTGGCGGCAGAAAACATGTATATGAATCTTAAAGTTTATTTATGTGAATAACTGTCATATTATTATAGTTTACATCTGCATCAAAAAAACCGTTCAGACAGCCGAAATACGTATTCCAACTACAATTTATCGGAACAGTCTACGAAATTCCCAATAGTGCCTTATTTACTAGTCGATTCATTTGCATTTACTTTGAAAGTAGTCACGATTACCTTTGCCAATAAAGAAAATTCGTTTTTCTTGGCATGTGCAATGTTATTGACATTGTTATTTGTATCCTTTCCAATTTTTTTTCCACTGGCATGCCAATGTCAAATAAAAGTAAATAAACTGACAGTTTATTAACTTCTATCTAGTAACTTTACATTGCATTTGAATCTTCAAAATATTTGCTTTTAATACATTTGCAATTCAATAGTTAATGTATTAATATTTGCTTGCATTTCTTTTCTCCTTTTTCACAGACACGATATTCGCTTACAAGGGCAATACACTAAAATGTGGGTGTAACGTAATGAATATCACCCTGTAATATTCCTACACTTATTTAATAAATCGAGGGAACCTAAATGTCCCCTTGTGGTACACCTCAGTTTGATATTTTAGGGAGATTCGATCACGTTTTCCTAAACTTTCTAAATTGGAAATCAGTTTCCTATTTAGTCATATTATACTTGGGTATGCTGACTGATTACACACATGTAAACCAAAAATAGTACAAATTAAACAGTGGAGGCACAAAGGTGTCACCTTGTTGTACTCCTTGCGTATATTTTCAGTTTTTCTCTTGAATTAAATAAGTATTACAGAACGCCCACTTATAAATTCATTGTATTTATGAACAGTTCTATTATTTAATTTAACAATAGACAATTGATACTAAGCTCACTAAAAAACTTTGGTACAAGGATGTGTCCTTGTGGTACAGGTAAAAGGTTTCCAGCGTCTTTTAAAATAATTGAAATAACAAATCTAATTGAAAATGTTCAAAAATTCACGTACCTGCTATGCAATACTCTTAAACTCTTGGTCGACATACAATTAACACTCCAATCGGTATTTCCATGGTCATTGCATATGGTAATGCTGAATCGGCCGTAGTTGGCTCTGATTAGATGGATGACGTAGCCTTCTCCGCAGCCGATCTTCAAGGTTTTGCCTTCGCACGCATATGCTGTCTCGTATCGAGGTTCTGTGGAGGGAAAAAAAGAATTTGGTTATATTTTGTCTACGAGAACTGTTTCATAGGTGCAGAGGTCTGCACCTATGAAACAGTTATACACCTGTATTAGCAGCTAGGTACATTGACACTAGTAATATCTTATTAAGATTTTTTATTTATTATGATTAATAATTAATACAAAGATCGAACACATAGAAAAACTTTATATTAATTAATCATAATAAAAACCATAATACGTCAGTTGAAGCACCTGTAAAGGTGCTGGCTGCGGTGAAGAGGGTTCTAAAATCTCTCACTAGATGACACTAGCGGCACAGAATGCTGAAAAATCCAGTATAAAGATATTTAACAAAAACACATAGGAGTTTTTCGACAATTCTATAACTTGACTCGTAGCTCACACGGTACGAGCAATACTACGGAGTAGTATGGTCGTGGGTTCAAGTCCCATTGGGGCGAAAAATTTTTTCTATGTGTTCGATCTTTGTATTAATAATCATATGTCGAAAATGCTTTTATCGCATGAAACTCATAAAAATAATACCAACTACATGAAATGTGAAATTTTATTTAAGAACAAAAAAGTTCTCGACTAATATCGTTCACAGAATCTTTAAATCTCTCTCCCGAAGTTGTCATTTTTCAGATGTGACCTTATTACATCAAGAATGAGATTTCAGCTGGTTAACGTACTTCTACAAAAGTACATATGTTTTTTAAAAAACGAGATCAAAATTTCTGGTCCCGCATTTAATTTGCAATTGTGTGTTCGACAAAAAAATTTTGATTCATGTTTGTTATTAAAATATCAAGTGACGGGACGAACAAGTCGTGCGCCTGATGGTAAGCTACACGGCAGTCCATAACAGTTGCAGTGCCACTCAGAGCTTTAAATCGCAAAGATCTGAGGAGCAGTGCCACTGAGCCCGTCACCCTGAGGCATAAGTTTACAAGTCTCATGTGCCTGTAATTTCACCAGCACCCTTACCCTTCAAAACCGGAACGCAGTAATGCCGTAGTGGCAGAAATAGATAATGTGGCAGTACTTCTCTGGACAAACTCTTTCACAAGTAGCTCTACTGCTACTAAAATGGTTATATTTAAGTGATAATTACTACTGAACATTTCTTTCACATTGTTTAATTAATAATAAAATTGCTATGTAAATCAAATGGTGATCAAGTTGTCTTGGTTGAATAAAGAACCTTCATAGAATACTCTTAGGGTCGTATTCCAGAACTGTACTCAATGCTCAAGTCAGGATTTGAGTATGATTCAAAGCACTAGAAATCATACTCAAGTTCTTGCCATTAGGGTCGCATTTCCAGTGTTTGAAATCATATTCAAGTCTGCTCAAATCCTTACTTGAGCTTTGAGTAGAGTTCTGGAATACGACCCTTAGTGGTGCTACGACAAAATAGCCATTAAAACCAAAAAACTCAGCCGCCAAGCAAATCGTGCTAGCGCCTGATCCTTCCTGATAGTTAACTTCCGAATAAAGTACCGTTATAAAAGTTGCGGAAGCAGAAACGGAAACTTGCCGAAGCATCACTAGCTTGCACACCGGTTTCCATGGTCGCCGGGTTCGCCCGGCCGGCTCAAGTAGATAAACTGAATTTTCTGTATTGTGTCGGGTCTGAGTGATTGTGGTACCGTTGTTTCTAATTTCCATAGTGTTTTAGTTACTTACTTTGGAATCAGAGCAACATTATTAATTAACAGAGTAATATTATTAATTATTTATTAAGTTTATTTATAAATAAAAATTACTTAGCAATATTGAAAACATTTTCATTTAAAATGTGACGACTTTGTCCAAATGAATATTTCATTTGAAAATATAAATAAAACAAAGCCTCAGTATCACAATTCAATCTCAAGTATTACAATTACATGCGGTTTCGCACACTACAGATAAGACACAGAAATGTGAAGAATGCCTGGGTCTAGACTAGCCTGGAATGTTACGCAGATAGAATCGTTCGCATCGTATTGTTTACGACAACAAAAAAACGTATGATTTCAATTTCGTTTTTAATTTAGAAGTTGTGCCTTAATTGCATCATTTCCAGGGCTTCTGTTGCTTAGTTTGTCTTTTCTAGGAAAAATATTCTTGGAAAAACAGAAAATAAAATAATACGCTAATGGAAATGAGTAGCAAAAAATTGTAGGTCTTTATTAAGTTATTTTTTGTTCTTGGAACTTTTTCAGGTAGAAGATTAAAAATACCATCATCATCAACTCATTACACGTCCTACTACTGGACACGGGTCTCATTTAAGAGGAGAGTCTAGGAAAGTCAGCCACACTTGTGGAATGCCGGTTGGGGATTTACATACGTTTTCCAAGAGTAGTGAGCCTTCTACTATATAAAGTTTTCGTCACGAGATTTTCCTTTCACAGGTATTGATTTTAAATAGTCACAAATGTACGTAAATTTAAAAAAATAAAATGAAAATGTTGCACGAAAGGAGAAATGCGAGCTTTTGAGTTCATCCAGGGAAGTATTGCCGCCAAGCAGTAATGTCAGCGTTACTGTGTTCCGGTTTTAAAGGGTGCTGGTGAAATTACAGGCACATGGGACTTGTCAGCATATGTCTCAGTGTGACGGGCGCAGTGGCAGTGCCCCTTCCTTTTTCTATTGATATTGTCTGAAGAATATGCTAATTCGGTCCACGGTAGGATGTACTTTACTCGGTTCGATTTAACTTTGAACAAAATTTTTATATGGAGATATTTCTCTTTAAATACTAAAGAAACCTGCTAAATTTTTGTTTAGAACTGAAGCCTTACAGTTATTAAATTTCCCAAAACTTGAAAATTGCTCAACGGTTAACGACCCGCTGCGCCATCCATTACCCCGTCAGTAGCCATCGGGCGCTTGTCAACGTCGGGTCTGTGTTAATTTTTTTCGGCATGTTCTTATTTTATTCATATTAATTTTAAGCGCACACACTTCACCTCCCAAAAATCTGGGCCGTCTTGATCTTGCATTCAAATACCTCGTCTTGAAGCTGAAGAACACTCTAACAAGGAACCAGAAAAGCGTAACTCATGCACTTCTTCTTCCATTAATTTCAGTTCAAACAAAAAACACCTTAACAGAACCAATTAAAATATCAAGTCTGGAATCCATTTAGTGAGAAACAAACACCCTGTAGATGAAAGTGTTGACTCAACGGTTTATAATCAATTTTTTTAATAAATTATCACGTGAATTTGCTTGATGCCATTATGTTGTGATAAAGAGTGTGAAAAAACATAAAATTTAAGGTGCCTTTGCTCTATTTTCTGATCATCGACACGTGCGTTAAACAAAACGAGTAAATTTGTAAGCAACACACGATTGGCATCGTATTTTTTGTCGATCAACATTTTTTTATGATACTAAGTGACGGAAGGAACAAGTTGTGCGCCTAGTGGTAAGCGACACGCCTATAGCAGTCGAATCGCCACTGGGCATTGCCATTGCGCCCGTCGCCCTGAGACATAAGTGATCAGACAACATGTGTGATCAGACAAAATCGAGTAAATGTGTAAGTAGATCGTCACGTGTCGATCATCAAAAAAACAAGTCATGTCCGTAGCCTTCTTTATAATAATAATGTGCCCTACAACAATTTCCTGGTCTTAAATCTAGGATATTCCTTGTACTATGAGTACCAAAGAAACGGAATTCGCTCCGGGTCTCTACCGGGAACACCCGGTCCAGAACCAATAAAAAAAAGTGATTCCCCTAATTGGTCCTACTGGGAATTGAACCCGGGACTTCCTCGTCTAGCGTTCACTCTTCAAAACGTTGGGTCACAGAGGTTGTAAAGTTACAATAATATTTAACCCCCCGTTTATAAGCAACTTTTCTCAATCTCACATTAACTATTGTTATAAAACAAAGGGTGTTGAGTTGTGCATATTGCAGGGTTCCGTATAATAAATCGGATGAAATTAATGACGGTACTGACAGATCGTTTACCGTTTTTGCAACGTCACACTACGAAATGAAGGCCCATAATACATTATAGTCTGGTAAATCCGGGTTTGTTTTTGTAACGTCGACCGGTTCCTAAGATGATATCGCACCCTTGATGTAATAAGGTCACATCTGAAAAATAACAACTTCGGGAGAAAGGCTTAGAGATTCCACAAACGAAATGAGTTTGTAGTCTGTATTTTTGAAAATGGAGTAAAATAAGTTCATTGCGCAAAAGTTGTCTGCTTGCAAGCAGCTAAGGATTGCAGTCGATAAAATATATTCTATCGACTATCGACTAAATGTTGGTCACGCTTATGCAATAACTATCCGAACTTGTTTCATTTGAATCATTATGTGCCCATTATTCATCCAACTGCTGGGTACAGGTTCATTAGAATTGTCATTTTTGTAAGTTCAAACATACATTACCCTGCATTTAGAATTTATGTCTATGAAAACTACAAAAAGGAGATATATTTTAGTTTTTAATTTTAATTCAATATACATAGATAATCAAATACGCCTGTCCTCATTAAAGTGCATATGAATAAAAATTGATTTAGATACTATAAGACCAACCGCCAAAATGAGAATAAACAAGGCAAGTGGTTGGACGGTTACCATGCTGTACTGCCACGCAGAGGTCCCGGGTTAAATTCCCGGGTCGAGAGAAATATTTATATGGCCTACATTTATTTCTCTCGCGAGTTTGGGTATAATTTGTGGTTGTCAGTGCGTGTGTCTATGGTATCCGTGATACAGGATTTCCCTAGTGCGGGGCTATGAGTGTGCGCGCGCGTTATTATTATTTTTGGCAAAATTTTACATTCTTTCACAATCTATCGATAAAACTGTCGGCAATAACTACATGACTATTTAAAATTTTATGAATACTGAAAACCCTGCAAATGTCATTTTACTCCGTCTTCGAAGATGACAGACTATATGACTTTTTTATGATAAAATAGAAGAATTATAAAATCTCACACATACACATACCATTTTTTATAGCAACGATACTTTATATGGTGATCCG